GTGGAGAAAGAAGGAAGATCGATGTTAAAAGCACAGACGAGCGGCAACAAAAGAGCAAGAGGGAAACAAATGATATACATGTAGAGGCGGGGGGAGAGGCGGCGTGAGAAGTGTATGTCTGGCCTGATGAACAAATGGAAGCTGTCTCAGCTATCAGCTCCATCTTTACAATACAGCCCGACTCTGTGTGTGTGTGTGTGGTCCATACATTCATGATCCTTGCTCTTTTTTCTCTGTGAAGTCGGAGAGGAAATTGCATGAACAGAGACAGATATTGCATAGCTGTCACTGCAAGTAGAGAGAAATATATAGCTATAGTTACATCCTGCCTTTGAGCATTAGAACATTTTAAAGTGACTCATTAGCGATACAGATGTGGCTCCAATAGGACACAGATAACTTTTATATGAGAAGGATCATATCACAATTTAAAATTAAATTGTAATTATATTTTTTGGGTTGTGGACTGTGAAATTACTGTTTTGGTTCACTTCCTCATCTCAGTTTTTTGGCTCACACAGATGGCTGTATTCAACCGAAAAGAACTACATCTAAAATCCCTCTATATTCGACCTGCCCAGCAACAAATGGCAGACTGACAAAGTTAGGACAGACATTTCCCTAAGGAGTTGGTGCAGACCAAACAGACTCACATCCGTCACACTAACATGACTCTCAATAAATGCTAATGTTGCTCTGTAGCTGCTGGATGTGTGACAAGGCGACAATAACGTGATGATAAAGGGACTTAATGTGGTCTGGACATGTCAATATTTAGGTATTCAAAATCATTAAATGCAGGTTGAAGTATTGTTTATGTTAATTGTCACTGAGATAACACATGGTGTTAACAGACCAGGATATCCACTTCCTGACTCACTTAAGTATTTACTTACTTGCTAACTTGCTTACTTGCATTCTTACTTACTCACTTACTTACCTACCTACTTACTCACCTAATTGCCTACTTACTTTCTTACATACTTTACTAACTTACTTACTAAAGCTCTTAGCCCTGTGGCCAAGCAGTTTCCACCACAGCTGAGTATTGGAGACTGAACATCCAGTCAATCAAGCAAAGCCCATGAGTTGTTGGTGTTTTTCAGTGTCCATCAGTGTGGAAGGGGACTTCTTTGTGAGCGGAGGCGGGCTGAGCTCCAGGTTCCGAGTCGGTACAATCAGCTTCCACTGGGGGCGCTGCAATGCATCATCAGATGGGTCTGAACACAGCCTGAACGGGATGAAATATCCTCTGGAGGTAAACAAACACACAGCATCAACACATGTATCTGTTCTATGTGTGTCTACCAATGAAAGGCAGTTTACCTGTCTGTTTTCTGCTCTCCTTCAGATGCAGATCTACTGCTACGATCCAGCCTTCCTCAGTCTGGAGGATGCTGTGAGGAAAGGAGGCAGGATGGCTGCGCTGGCCGTGCTCTTTGAAGTAGGTTCACAGCCAGATTTAGAGATCAGTCTGTACTTCTCAAAAAAACGAACTGTTTAGTGATGAAATTCAAGTTTAGGGGGGGATTAGTGGATGTCACAATTCAAAAGTGAATCTGAATTCATAGAGGAGATAATTTCCCCCGTGTGTTAGTAAAGATGATTTGGCAAATGAAACAACAATCTGAGTTAATTGTGCATAATATTATAGAGTTTTTATATTTGAAAAATGTATATTAACTGATTGCAACTATGTAAAAACACAAATGAATGAATCAAATTAGTAGGTTTAGTCAAGCTGGCTTTATTTCTCGTAAACTTGCTTTTTACAAAAATATATTTTGCACAAAAAACATGTATGACTCTTATTGTGTGTGATTTTTTTCGACAAATGACACAATAATGCTTGACAACTTTGACTTTGGGGGTTAGGATTGCTGTTCACCAATAGCGAGATCTACATGCTTTTGGAATGCAGAATATTAAAAGACAAGAATCCCCACTGCTTCCTTTAAAGGTTCATATTTTACCCGTGTTGTTTTCCACAGATCAGCTTGGATGACAACGAGAAGTTCAGTCCTGTTATCGAGGCCGTCAACACTGTCAGCAGGTTTGGTAGGTCTCCTTCACATACAGTGGTCACAACTTGGGTATATATGTCCTACCCTCTAAAATAAGAGCAGGTGGCGGTCCTGTCAGTTTTTAGAAGAATACTGGTTTTAATCAATAGCGAAAGAAACAGAATAATGGAAAATGTTAGCAACTATCATGGGAAAAACATCTAATAACGGAAAAGAATAACGCGTTAGTGGGCTTAAAGTCAGTTTATCAGCCAAAATGAGAGGTTGATATTAGTGGCATGATTTCACAAAACATTATTTTTTTCTCTGCTAAATTATAAAACTATAAAAGCTCACAGATCTGCGTCAATGAATACCAAGATACATACAGTAGGTAGACTTAACCTACAGTCTGACATTTGTAAAGGCCCAGTCCCATGTGGTCTTACAGCTTGGGATAAAACATTTGTTGTGACATTTTGTTACTAATGGGACTTTATTTTTCAACAGGTAAGAGCGGCTCGATTGAAGCCTTCACCCTGCGGTCCTTGCTGCCTAATAACACGGATAAATATTACATCTACAACGGTTCACTAACGGCACCGCCATGCTCGGAAACAGTGGAATGGATCCTCTTCAAACAGCCTGTGGCCATATCAGAAACACAGGTCAGTGGGTTTGTGTGTTTGTTTTTGGTTATGTAAAGATCATAATACATCTATAATGTGTTCGGTATAAAAACGTCTTCTGTGAGGTCATCATTTTGATAGCTGTGCACAAAATGTAGCGTACAAAAAGTCTTTCTGCGGTGACATGTCTGGTAACAAAGAATTCAAAGATTCAAAGGCTTTATTTTATTTTTTTGACACAAACATGGACATAACAATAACGCATAGGAGAGGACATTCCCATCTCAGACAAAAACAAAAAAAACAAAAACAGAAGAAATAAAGACAGTCAGTAGGATCACTTCAACATTTCACAAACAAAAATAGGTTGACAACCAGAGATGGGGTCGTTACTAAAAAAAAGTAATATATTACATATTACATATTACTTTAAAAAAAAGTAATATATTACACTACTTCGTTGCTCTCTACATAAAGTAACTCGTTACTTTACTCGTTACTTTACTCGTTACTTTACTCGCAGGGCCGGCCAGCCCCTCCCTACAGGCAGATCACGCAGACTGCTAAAGTTTCAAATGTTCTCTTTAGTTCAGTTTCCATTGTCGCATAAGACTGATCCAGATAGCTCTGACTATGGCTATCCTCTGTCTCCTGCTATCTGTATTTTGCGCAGTATATCTCTGAACGATGCGATGGTGATTCCACTGTGCCAATGGGCAACATTACCTCTACTATGAAGGATGCTACAAGCCTGTCCATCTCTGCTTTGGTTACCGGTCCTCCAAATTCTAATTTGTGCCGCTTCGGAGTCGGTGGCGGCACACTCACAACATCCTCACTCTGGGTTCGGGGGTCCTTAGCTATTAGCTTCACCTTAGCATGTGTTCTTTGCAGGTGTTTGTTGAGGTTTGACGTGGTGTTTGCAGCAGTGGATAACAGCTTCTGGCCTGGACACAGTTTGCACCTCACCGTCACATTCCTGTCTATTCTTCGGACGAACTCAAAATAATGGGCATACCTCCACCCCTCGAAAGTTATCGCTGACTCTGCCATGTTTATGCAGCACTGCACGTGGAGATGTGGACGCGCAAGTCGCGCAGATTACGTACATAGAAACCTGCGGCGGAAACCCCTCTTGTCTGTCAGTGTGATTATGACTGATTTTATAAAAGTAACGAAGTAACGCGTGTCGGGGCAATGTTAGTAACTGTAGTGTGATTACTGAATTATAAAAGTAACGCGTTACACTACTCCGTTACCGACAAAAGTAATATTATTACAGTAACGCGTTACTTTGTAACGCGTTACACCCAACTCTGTTGACAACCAAGTACCACCAAAAACACAACATGGCATATTTATTGTTCCTTTAATCCCACTCTTGGTTAAAGCTAATTATTTCCCATTTCATGACGTGTTGAGCCAAAGGCTTTATTTGTATTATGCACAATAGATGTGTAGTTTAAGCAATGCACATCTTAAGTCTCACGCTCCTTCTATAACGCATGCACGCACGCATGCACGCACGCACACACACACACACACACACACACACACACACACACACACACACACACACACACACACACACACACACACACACACACACACACACACACAGTGTTTTATGGACATACTAAATATGAATGGTGACACTTCACAAAGTTTATATCCTGTGGGATGAAACCCTGACCCCGAGTCCATTCATAGCATTACTGCAGCTTGATTCCATGATGAAGGCTTTTAAGCTCTGTAGAGGAACGGCCGTGTGATATTCATCAATAATATAGCAGATTAATGGCGAGTGAATGAGCTCATGGAAGTGAATATTCTTTGAGCATATTTGTGTTTGCATGATTTAAAAACTGGGTCTGCAAACCATGACATGTTCCCAAAAATAGAGCAGCTGTCTCTCTGGTTTTAGGTTGATGTGGTCATCTGCATGTCATCAAAAAGAGATGCAACAATCACATGTTTCAAATCTCTGTCTCTCTCCGTCTGTGTGCAGCTGGAGGTCTTTTGTGACGTGATGACCATGGAGCAGGCTGGATATGTGATCCTGACCGATTACCTGCAGAACAACTTCCGGGAGCAGCAGCAGTTCATGGGTCAGGTGTTCGCCTCGTACACCGGCGTGGAGGACGTGCTCACACCCAGTACGTCACCAAACACCCTTCGCTTAAAGTTTTCTGCTCGTTTGTTCCGCCTTCCTCCATTTAAGTTCACAGTTCACCTTTCCTCATTCCCAATTTGCGTTCATGTTTACACACTGCACTATATTTATCTGACAACTGTAGTCAAGTGAAGTAAGAATGCAGGTTTAAGACCCTTTCTCAAAGCGTCGCAGGAATGAGTCCTCAAACCCGGATTGAGTTAGCATTTTACCACCACAGGATCCCTCGTGTGTTTTTTGTTAGAAGCCTGAAATGAAGTCTTTCACATTTGTTTTACGACTTAAAATATATCAGTAAAAACCTACTAGTGAATTTCTGAAGCTTCTATGTGTTTTAAAAACGAAGGTAGCTAACAAGTGACTAATTGAGACGCCTATACGTCATCTTGCCAAAAGTTTTCCTCCTTTAGCTTAGCCATGGTGACGTGAAGTCATGTGACCGTGATGTAGTTCCTTTATAGCCTAATGATAGCTTTGTATGTCTGGCGATTGAATTTACGCTTCAAAAATCCTAAAGATTGTGTTAATATGTCAAGATTCAAAAGTTTTAATGTCATATCATAAAAACATATGTGAAGATTATCCTGTTGGAAAACATTTCTAAGTATCATAAATGGGTGCTTATAACGGGTAATGTAAAATTCAATGGAAAACTGCCATTGCCATTATGACCCAATGTTATCATTAAAGGAGGCCACTAAAGCAGGCATCGTACCTGCTGTTTGGTCTATGAGCAATGCTACATGTCTGTCACATGTCTGGTTACAAGTTTATCATTTACAGTATTTTTTTTCCCGGTTACCATTTTGGGTTCACCTTCATGGACTAGATAACGCTGAACAGAATACATTTTCTCCGTATTCATTCCCCTTAGACTTGACTTTTTAGTCTTTTAGCTGAGTAGTCATGTCCATCAGTGAGTTTCAGTTCAAATCTGAATCATCAACATTATTCATTCCCAGCAGAAACAGCATTTTAAGATTTTCTACCATAAGAAATTCTTTCTTGTCTGGCTTTAATGAGCTCAACCCATAATCTCCTATTCTCCAAAGCTCTAAATATTTCAACCCATCACATTTAAACCACATTTTGGTCATCATGGGGGAAATGAATCCCCCTCAGGCACAAATATGAATACTACATTATTAATGTTATTTTTTTGAGTGAAAATATTGCCAATCTTGTGCTTTCTCCTTAGCTGTAACACTTTCCTCCAAGTTCAGCCGAGTCATGATAATCAAAAGATAAAATTCACAACGCTCTCCATGTCTTTTGGGTTGCCAGGGAGCTTCTCTTTGTTATTCTGTTCTCCTGCAGCTCTCAGTGCAGCCAATTTATCTTGCAGCTCCTTTTGAAAGTATTGAGAAATTCAGAGAAGGGTCTTCTTCAGCTGTAACATATCATGCACCCCTACACACACATGGAGACACCTCCCACTCAGTTCACACTCCCCTGTTGAGCTGGGCTTTTTAAAATGCATCCTTATTTCTTCCATTTCTGATGCGGTCGATTTTTTATTAAGTTACATGCAGCGACAATGTACTGCTATTAAGTGTCCACCTTTTTCGTTCAGGATTTCTATTGAATTTCCTGCATCACACCCACACTAATCAATATTCATTTATTTTGGCCCTCTTTCTCTCTTTCTGCCATTTCCAGCCTGCAGCTCGGAGCCGGAGAACGTTCAGGCCGATGCCCAGAACGACACAACCATCGTGGTGATGTGGGAGCGTCCCCGCGTGGTCTACGACACCACCATCGACTGGTACACCGTCACCTACCAGAGGCTCCAGGGCCGCGAGCAGAGCAGGCAGGAGTACAGGACGGACGGGGATCAGGACGTGGTACTAAACACAAAACACGCCCTAACAAGCAGCACACACTAGTGCATGTAAATGGTCCGCTATCTATTTAAACTACCTGGAAAACTGCAACTTTTTTACATGATGTTAAGACACAGAATTTGAATATACTCACTTAAAATTACTTAGATTCTTATAAAACCAATTAAAAGTAATGAAATGTTACTGGTAGTAATAGAAAAACTGAAATATTATCAGCAAAATGTGCATCAAAAGTAAAAGTACTTAGTATACAGAATGGCTCTTTTCACAGTATTATATAAATATAGTACCAATAAGTATATTAGCACAGGCTTCACGTAGATCCTTAAAACGCATTTGATTCTAAAATAAGGCCTTAATTGGTATCCAAATGTTCTAAATCAACCTCTCAAAAGTCCTAAAAATGCTTAGAAATGAATTGACTTTTTTCTGACATTGCGATTTAAAGTCTCAAAATAATTGTTAACGTCTACATTTTAGATGAGTTTCAGAATGCCTCTCACATTAATGTCACACAGATCAGCAAAGCAGAAGCAACAAGACTCACCTTTAGTTTGTGGCCGGGATGCTCATAGCAGAGTTAGTTTTCTCACTTACAAAGACATGAGATATAGCAAATTCATAATAATTGCCTTTCAAACATGATTTTATATCAGGCGATGTTCATGATGTTTACAAGTTGTATTTTAAACTCACAGTAATTACATTTTCCTCAGGTGGTTTTCCTTTGGTGATCAAGTGTGTTTCATCCCAGTGGTGTTAAAACGTCTCCTTAAAACTAACCTTGAGCTGATAGAAGCTTGCTACACTCACCTTTGACTTATTATCTACAGTCCACACTGGAATGGTACAATAATCCATGTCTACATAATCAATTCAGTCCCTATTCTGCTGCAGTAAATATTCAAACGTAATTTATTATATTCTTCTCAACTCTCATATTGTGACTGCTGTTGGGATCTGGTTCAATTGATTCATAGCGACGATCAATTCTTCCTGCTTAACAGGTCACTGAGCATCCCTCAATGTGACCATGTGTGTGAGAGTGTGTGTGTGTGTGTGTCTGCGAGTTAGTGGACCTAGTCGTCAATATTCATCCTCATACAACACAGATAAATAACTGAAAAAAGTAACCCCACCTTTAGTCAGCATGCCTGATATGTGCATGAAAACCTCATGAGAGGCATCAATCATTATTTTAAAGTGTGCACATGCAATTCAAACTAAATTATGAATCAGAGATGCATTCTGTTCGAAAATCTAAAATGTATGAGTCAGTCAGTCATGAGGCCTTTACACACTTAGTTATTATGATATGTGCAACTCTAAAAAAAGAATTAAGAGAATAAATAATGGGAAATATTTGGAGTCTGATAGGAAACAAACAAGCTATTATTAAAGTTATTATTATAGGATTTGTAATGCAGAGATATTCAAACCTGGGATCAGCAAGTATTTTTGGAGGGGTTCAGGTAATTTCAAACAAAGAAATTGAAATTATTTAATTTAAAAAATGACCTCCATATGTATGCACTTTGGAGGCAAACACACCTGCTCACTAACCAAGAAACAACCAGCATGATAAACTAACCCCCCCACTGACCGAAAGGCAGGTGAAACACCACCCGCTGCGATTGAGAGTGCATGAAACTAATTAGGCAGCGAGAATAGAGACAGATAATGATCCAAGTGCTGCAGCTTCGAAATGTCGAGTACTGCCTCTTCAAGCTGGAGCTGTATGCAAATTGGACCAAATCTACCAAAAATGAAAATAACACACCAAATTTAAATATCATCATATCATAAGATCACTTATTGCTACATCCTTTTTTAAACACAGGGTACCCGTGGATCCTCAAAGAGTCTTAAAAGGCATTGAATTCAGAAATCTAAAATAAGGCCTTACCTGGTGTTAGGTTATTAAAGTGTAACACATTTTAAGAAATGGGACAAAGGATATTGGTTTTTATCTGACATTGCATTTTAAAGTCTTAAAATGGCTGGTAAAGTCTACATTTTGGTTGATTTACAGAATGCCTCTTGCATTATTGTCACATATATTAGGATAGCTAAACCACCAACATTTAAATTGTCGCCTGATTGCTAGGAACAACATGGAGAGGTAGACATTTTATTTTTTTAATATTGAACCAGTATTTTGTATAAGGTGATGCAAACGAGGCTTGTTGTCGTGTGTCAATCTCAACAAGGTTTTTTTCTACAATTTGAGTGATTATAAAGTCATTAAATAGTCCCCTAAAAGACTTGAATCTAACTTACATTAAGCTGCAGGGACCCTGAGATAGTGAATGATGTTAACATGCAGCTGTGTGTCTCCCCAGGGTGCCTTCATCCCCGGCCTGCTGGCCAACAGCAGCTACGTCGTTCAGGTGGTCGCTGTCTGCACCAATGGACTCAGAGGGCGGTGGAGTGACCAGATTATAGTGGACATGCCATTAGAAGACCCCGGTACGAAACATACGAAAACTCCCACAATGCCGTCCCATTTACTACTTTGTTAATCAGTTTGTCTTCATTTGTCCGCTCTCTTTAGAAAGTGATTCTGATTCTGACGCTGTCTCCGAAGGTCTGGAAGGCAACAGAGAGGTAGGGCCGTCACCTGACACCGCTCTGCACGCTGGCTATCATTTAGATAGATTACTCTATATTCATTCATATCGTTGAACCTCATTACTATGCAAATGATTGTAATTATGCAAATCGAAGCCTTTCAGTAAGTGAGCAGAACAAAAGAGGATTTGAGACTTTCTAGCATGTTTGGACGAGATTAAAAAAAGACTGTAATGCTACCATGATTTCACTCAGAGGAGCATTGCAGCCTGTCCTCTCCTACTCCAAAAGTTACTTTATCATGAGGTCATTTTAATGTTGGAAATGCACCAAAAAAAGCAGTATTATCATAAGAATTTTTATTTTATTTTATTTGGTATGGATACCATTAGCATTAGAACAGAATATATGGACCCTGACCATGTAGGCATTTCATTTTTAGGTTTTAAATCTTGTGATTTATGTACACTCGGCACTGCTTGTGTTTTCTTGTGTTAGGTTCAATCTAAAGCCAAATCAGCGCCGCCAGAGACCCAGAATCCGGCGGAGGACCACAGCCCGGTGGAGGAGATCCCGGTGGAGCAGACCCGAGTGTACCAGAACCTCCCGGTGCAGGTCACCCCCCGCCCACCCCCAGATAATCCCTCTGAGTCCACCCTGCAACGAAAAACTCAAATCAAGCCGATTGTGAGAAAGAAGCCGAGCCGGGCCAGCCCTGAACCCGATGCCATGGATCAGAACTGGATCTACGAGGACAGCGATGTTCCGTTACACAATCCGCTCACTAATCCAAGTTTTGATGGCAACGGGGCAATATGGGTAGGCGAGGTAACTGAACAGCCGGGCTTCCTGTTTCCAGTTGCCCGGGCAACCACACCGCCAACAGTTCGGAAACAGATCACAGAAGAGGCCTCGTTGTCGGTGACGCCACATCAGGTAGCTCATTAGCACTTTCTCTCCATTTCCTGCATCCTTAACTGGATTAACAAACAACTGGGGCTCACGATGGAAAGGCAATCTATTATATATAAGATAAACCTCTCATTTTTATTTTTCAGGTAGGGGATCAAGGTCCGACAGACCAAGCAGCAGAAAATGGCGTCCCTTCCCCCTCGTCGGACCTCTACACCCCTCCTGTGGAGGACATCACCGATATCTTCTATGAAGACACAGTCAACAACTCCCCAGGAGGAACCAACAGCTCTGCTGCTGCTGTGTTGCCAGGTATGATCGCCATTCCTCATCCAGAAACATTGCTTGGTGTTGCCATGGAGGAGTTTGAGCTCATAAATATTAGAATATGGACCTGCTGAAGATTTGTACTTCCACTGGTGCTGCTTAGATTACCATACCAACATTGTGTGTTAAATTGTGTTAAACCTGTCCTGTTTTAGATTTCATTCATGTTTTGAATAAATAATGTAAACAGCTAAGTAGTAAGAATGAGCAATACAAATGTATAATAAAAAAGTATAAAGAAAGAAAGTTCACTTTTGATCTGTTTATGTTTGCTGTCTCACAAGCCCAGAAAAAGAGTTGTGTTGGAATATTTGACTAGTATTCACTCTTTTCTGAAGTATCATTAGTCAGCAATTTTCTTCAAATTTCTCATTGTTTATCTTTCTTAAGGACTTTTATTTAAGTAAACTGGTTTTGGCTTATATGGATTTTGCAGGCTGGGCATATTTGTATAAATAAAAAAATAATAAAAATGGAATTAATTAATTCATATAACGTATCATGTGATGTCTCATTAGATCGTTTCACATGACATCCTACAATACATCATGCCTCGACAGACCATCCTCATGTAATGCCCTGATTGTTTCCCCTCATGTAGTTACATCATCTTCGGTCACGTACAGTAGGGTCTCAGTAAAGAATTTCCCCAGCCCTTTTCAGGTTCCTGTTGTGGCTCAACGTGCATCTCAGCATATAATCCTAATGTGCTTCCTGTCCCACAGCTCACACCGTGGTCAAAGTCTCGCTGCCGTCCTCTGAAGACAGCCGCACCCCCGTTAGCGAACCTCGCCCACAAACCAGCACCTCCGTGTCCTCCGCCCCCCCGCCACTATGGATCACAGGACGGGTGGCGACCCCCAGCAACACGCTGGCTGAGTCCCTCTACAAGTCCTTCACCACCTCCTCCCTCCTCAGGGGGCTCGTGCACACAACCCAGCCCATGTTGAATGGTAAGATCTCAACTAATATATAACATAATTATGAAAAATAATTATATTATATTATTTTTAAATAAAAAAATAGCTATTATCTGATGGATTTTCCTCTATCAAAGCAATATAAATACATGTGTTTGTGGAGGGCAGACAGCAGGTCTTGATTGCGGTGGATGATGGTCTTTCTCCTCTAGTAGCCCAGTATGCTCATCACGTGCGCTGTGAGCATGGCGGTAGGATGTGGATTATGCTGGTGGTGGTAATGTTGACGGTCGACCATAACATGCTGGCATTGGTGATGATTAGAATGATAATCAGCGGCTGTTTCAATCATGAAATATGCTCGACGATTCTCCAAATCTCGCAGCTGTTAGGGCTCCACATGAGGTCACATTTGGAGTCCCCAGGCTCAGTGATTTGCATCTACTCTACTTTTGGGATTTCTTTTCTGGGTCTGCTTCCTGTCTGTGGCTCAATGGCGCCTTCTGGTGGTGGTTGTTTTCTTCAATGCTTCCAAATGAAGGGGTTACTTCATGGTGAATGTGCCTTGTCTTCAACAAGTTGATTTATGACATTTCTTCAGAAACTAAATAAAAAAAACGACCAATTCTTCTGAGTCATGACTCTTTAACTCAGATTTTCTCAACTCTTGTGTGCACGATATCTGGGTTCAGTTCAATTCTTACCTTTGCTTCCATCTTCCTTGCATGGCGGGGCACATTTTGAAGGGACACATTCCTGGAAAAGTTGTTTCTGCAGACTTTTTACTCTGGATTTTTCTGCAGAAAAGACACCGACTTTCAAGGTTCAGGACTCAACTATTGACCGGTTCTCTGGTTTAACAAACTCTCCTCACACTTCTAGAAGAGTGATCGCCAACCCCCAGCGTCTACATCCAGAGAACCCTCCGATCTCCTCCACCTCACTTTCTCTGCTGCCTGATTATGACTTGAGTAGCATATCGAACACAGTAGAAGGAAATGCCTTAAAAACGTCTCATAAGGAGTCTCATGGTTCAAAGATCTTGATACATCTTGACAATGACGAGGAAGTGGGGACGGACACACATAAAGAAGCAGAGCAGAGTGGATCAGGCTCTGGACTTTTCATCAATCAGGAACATAATGGAGTCACTACATTCCAAACCGACCTTTCTGCTATTTTAAATTCAATTATCAGCTTCAAGGTCGATGGTAGTGGGAAAAGGAGCAAAATAAGTTTCAAAAAAGTGTGTGAAACAGAGGTAGAGAGAGAAATGGAGGAGAATGAAAGTGAGCTAAATTGGGAGAAGGAAGAGAAGATAGAAGGAGTCCACAACAGTGGGATTCAGAGAGGGAGGGAAGTGGATGGTGAAACAGATGAGAGACAGTTCAATAGCTCCACAGGCGGTGAAGTGTTGGAGGAGAAAGTAAATGATGCTGTTGCAAGACAGACAATATACAGTGAGAGCGGAAGTGGGAATGAATTTGTGTCAAGCTGGCCTGAGGACGTCAGCGGTTCTGCAGAAGGTGGTGGAGATGGAGAGGGTAAAGGAAAGAAAGTAAGTGAAGACAGACTCAAAGCAGTAGGCTGTGACGAAGGTGATGAAAGAGAAGACGGCGAGGAAGGAAGAGATGGTGTCCAGCTGTATGTCAGTCAAGAGCGCCCACTGTTTGACAGCAGTGAAGACAACCGTGGTGGTGGTGGTGGTGGTGGTGGTGGTGGACATGATAAAGAAGGTGGAGACATGAGTGTTTTGAGTCCCGTTGACTCGACTGGACGTCTGGAAGGACACATTGGAGGAGCTGGGGAAGAGATGAGAGATGCAGCTGGAGTTGGAGAGAGTTTGCAGAACAACTCAAGTAAGGACGGGTTTTTGTTTGATGCTGGAAGGAGCCCCCTGTTTGGGCGGCTCGTCCCTCTGCTCAGACTGACAGGCGGCAGCAAGGCCAAGGAGCAGGAAAAGGAAGGTAAAAGTTACTTTGCTATTCTTTAGCAGAAAGGGACAGAGCTGTATAATTGCTAGAGGCAACACAATTTTTTTTTTTACATTAACAGGGGATGAAATGACTAGATTTACCACCCAACTGCACAAGCTGTTTTAACCCAAAAAGCCATTATAAACCCATTGTATGCTACCTCCACACCACTAAACGTATAGTTGCCCGACATGTTCTATGTTAAGGACCCAATTTAAACAATGTCTTAAAGCCACCTCAGGAAAACCCTTAACTCGTCATGTAGTTGTATGCATTTTTGTTCTTTCTACGTATGTATTATTTATTATTCCTTGTATGTTGTGACTTGTAAGGGTTCTATTTCTGTTAAATCCCAAGATACCAAAGGCGTAAATAGGATTTTTTATCATCCAGCATTTTGACATTATGTATTTTATACTCATGTTCATTTGGTTGCTCTGTCCCTATCGGAGAATCAAACCATGAATACATTTATAAAGTTAGCATTGAGCTACAGAGCATAATGCAGCAGATGAAAAGCCAGATGCCCTAAAGAAGTTGGTTAAGAAGCTAAAAGGAAAGTGAAATCAGAAACAAAAGGAATGCTTATGTTGTTCAGTGTCTGCCGGGGTTTGTTAAGAAGGACGTTTTTTGCTAACCAATGGGTTATTATCCACATAATATTGTAATACAGTTGTGTTCACACTGTGCTGCGCTGCCCCCAAGTGGCCAACAAAAGAAGCAAGGAATGAAAAGTGAATGGTGTGTCATGTTCGAAGCGGAACAGTATGGAAATAATTCATGAACTAGACAGGCTGCCTCACGGTTGTGATCAAAATGTAGATGGATATATAGTTATATAACTTGTATATAGTATATTACATTTGTAATTTATACAATCCATAATTTAATCCAGTATTATTGTCAAATGCACAGTTTCCATGGAATCTGTAGAGATGTATTCACTGACATGATCTCTGAGCTTTGTGCCTCTGTCCCACCCCCCCACCCACCATCCCTCCTCCCTCTCTCCTCTCTCTCAGAGGGCAGCAACAGCAGCCACGAGTCTCGGGTGGGGCTGGTCGGAGGTTTGGAGAGGGAGAAGAGGACTGTCGTTCCGCTGGCCGTCGTCTCCACTCTCACCATCCTCTGTCTGCTGGTACTGACGGGCATACTCGTCTACTGGAGGTACACACACACACACACACACACACACACACACACACACACACACACACACACACACACACACACACACACACACACACACACACACACACACACGGTCAATATCTGCCTGACTCAGTTTGTGTACATTACTCAGGTTTGGATGTTTTTGTGTCACAGAAACTGTTTCCAGGTGGCTAATTTCTACCCAGATGACAGTGCATCACCTAAAGTCATATCAGTTCCATCTACACCCCTGCTGCTGGCCACAGGTAACACACACACACACACACACACACACACACACACGCATTTATTATCCTTTCGACATCAAACACTAATGTGGAACATCGGTTTAACGCTCGGTCTTTGTTTGCAGACGGTCACGAGCCACTGACAGTGAAGCAGTTTGTGAAGCACGTCATGGAGCTGCACACCACCAACACTTTCTCCAAGGAGTTTGAGGTGTGTAAATCTCAGAATTTCAGTCATCAAAATATCTGTGAACTTTCCTCAGGGCGGGAATATAAACTAGCAGACAGACACAGTGGGAGATTCCTTGAGATTCTGCTTAGAAATGATCAACAGCATACATTAGGGGGTCTCTTAGTTTTGTAGATAGCTCTTGTTGGTCATAGCTCCTTAATGCTCTTCCATACCTCTATTAACATCATGTTCTTTAGGAGCATCATTTAGGAGAGTGATATGTGTAACTTAAACAGTAAGGGGGTTTTGTATTAACCATAGCAGTGCTCATCCCAGACATATTTGGTAAAAGCTTAATCTCAGTTTATACTGAAAGTGAAGAGATTTCAGGATTAACACATTTTAAAGAAGTGTTTACCTTTAGATACTTTAATCTAAACTCATAACAGCTGCATACACACATCACACAATTAGCTAATAGTTCATTTTGTTCTCAAAAGAAAACTGTTGAAGGTTTTGTATATGAGATAAGTTAAGAAATACTTGATTGATCTCAAATTTGGAAATGTTTTCGTTGCAGCAGCATAAAAATACAAGGCATTGCACATTATTATACATTTAAAAAGAGTAGAATATAAACAATTATAGACTGTAAACGTCTCAAAATAGAAAGTCAAAGTAAAAGTCTGTAAACTATCTGATAAATAAAACACTATTGAAGGGCCAATTCAATATTTATAAGATGCGCATTTTAGAAATGTGTTAAAAGACGGCATAATGTGGGAAAACAACATGAATTGTATTAATCCCGAATCCACACACTGATGTTATTTGTGTTTTGAAAATGTGACTACAGCCTGAACAAAAGTATGTTAGCGATAAGAAAAATAACTGTAATGTTGTGAAGTATTTTAGAAGAGTTGACATGGATGAGTTTTAACAGTAGGTCCATCTGCATGACACTCGTCCCCTGTTTCCTGGCATGACCCTCACACACATGCAGGATGCTGCTGCTGTGTAATGGTCAGTGTTTCTGCCCAGCAGTCTAAATACAGTGCAGAATACTAAGCCATGGCTAACATGGTGGAGAGTTCCCCGTCATATCCGTTTGTTTACCACTTAGCAACGCCCCTCTGTGTGTACCTGAACCCCATATTCCTGTACCTGCACTGACTCCCTGTCTGTCTGTCTGTTTGTCTGTCTGTGTGTGACTGTCTGTCTGTCTGTCTGTCTGTCTGTCTGTCATCTTGTCCCCCCCCCTTTCCACTCTGTACCACCTCCACCTCCATCGTCGTGCTTTCTGCATCCTCACCACCCTCCATTAGATTGTCAAAGAATCCTATGAGGTAAGAAACCTGCAGTATCACCCTAACCCCCCCTCTTCACCACACACACACACACACACACACGCACACACGCACACACACACACACACACACACACACACACACACACACACACACACACACACACACACACACACACACACACACACACACACACCACACACACACACACACACAGTTTTCCACTCAGCTTATTTCAGATGTCATATTGAATATGCTGTTTGGTAAATATAAATGAAATGTTTAGTTTGTCAGTAATGTTCAGGCATTTCGATATAATTGTCTAGAAATATTAGTTTAAGTTAGTAAGGACTGTGTGCGGTTGAGCTTTCAGATTTTAGTATGTAATACAAGCTCATTTACAGACATATTTCAAACTGAGTTGGAGCCAAGGATGCTAATATCCCTTTAGAAGAATGAAAATAAAATGCTTGTTACAACTTCATTCCAAAGGCCTTTTCGTCTGTTTGGTTTTTGTCTTCACTTTAGACGCTTGACTTTGTATTTTTACACTACAGACAACTAAAGATTAAAAAGATGGAAGCAGAAAAAAAACCATTGTATCCACTCAGTATAGATTGTGCTAATTAGCATGTTTAGCTTTCGACTGTGCTAAGTCTTCTTTGTGTTATATATGTTAGTCTTATTTGTGTTTTCAGTTTTAATCTTTTTTAATGTTGTTTCTCAGGAGGTGCAGGCGTGCACTGTGGACATGGGCATCACTGCAGACAGCTCCAATCACCCCGACAACAAGAGCAAGAACAGATACATCAACATCCTGGCCTGTATGTCCCTGTTCACTATGTTCACTGTTCAACGCTTTATTTCCACTGCTATGTTTATTTGTATAAGGATAGATGTGAAGCATAAACCAGTACTACACACTACGGTATATATGAACTCAGTAGAAGAGATACAATCTAAGCAACAGGTACGTACATTCAAAGTCAAAGCTTCACATTTAAAAAGGAAACACAGACAACACTACACAAACGTATAAAGCTCGGCACCGTAAAACAAGAAGCAGCAAAAGATGTCTCAAATTGGATTAAAATTAGGAAAACGTACACTTCCTGTTGGATGCTGTTAGCAAGCTGTTAGCTCAGAGTTGAACCAACATTTTTAGATATGTTTATGAATAATTGTAAAAGAATCAAAGCAGGGATAAAGCTGAATAACCCTTTCCTCTCCCAGATGACCACAGTAGAGTCAAGCTCTCCGGCAGTTTAGACAGAGACGCCAGATGTGGAGACTACATCAACGCTAACTTTGTGGACGTGAGTATGTCAACAGGCAGACTGGCTGCAGGTCGTAGGTCAGGTGGGTCTTTTACACCCGTGTTCTCCTCTGCAGGGTTACGAGCGGACGAGGGCCTACATCGCAGCTCAGGGGCCCCTCAGAGCGAGCAGGGAAGACTTCTGGAGGATGATCTGGCAGCAGAACGTCGGCGTTATCGTCATGATCACCAACCTCAAGGAGAAAGGACGGGTAGGGCGTCACTCTGCTGCTGTCCCGATACGATACGATAATACTTTAACGGTCAGATCAAGACTGAAATTTGACTTGCATCACAGCAGCTCCATGTGTAACATCAACATAGACAAATATCACGACACAATACATGAAAAACAGAGCCAGTATTTCGTTTTTTATAAGAAAGGCCACCTAATTGTCTGTAGTCAACACACTATAAAAGACTACAATTGCCATGGCGCCTGCTCTAAAGTGACAGTGATGGGCAACCTGCTAGAAAGACACCGTCGAGGAACAGTTTTTAACCGTCCAATTATCCTTTAGGTTATTAAGTTATATATATATATATAAGAAAGAATATGTTTGTTATTTTATTTGAGTTTTGCCTATTTGTTTTGAATATTGTAAAGGCCTCTTCTCTTTGTTGCATGTGTAAAAGTTTATTTTGAGCAAACACATCGCATAACATCATCTAATCTAAACCATCGGAGGCCAAGCAAATCTTCAATTATAAGAAATATAAAGGAAAGAAAACGAGTTAAAAATGTCTGTTTAAGGCGTCTAGTGGCTTGAAAGACAAACAAGGAAGGAAGCCACAAAACATGCTCAAAGACCCTTTCAAGTTTATTTATAAAGCACATTTAAAAGCGATTTTTGGTCGAGCCAAAGTGCTGTACATGTAATAAAAACACATTACTACAATCACAATAAAAGACAATAAATTACAACAGATATAAAAAAACACAGGGAAAAGTCAGGAGTCGTGCTCCGCTCTAACTAGAAGGCCAGAGAGAAGAAGTGTGCATTTGATCTGGGAGTTAGCTCTGTATTTACTGTTAGGATTGACTGGTGCACAAAGGAGTGCTTCAGTCTGACTTTATTGAATCGCGGGACCCTGTATCTCCGATGAGATGGTAGCAGTTCCTATTCGCTGTTCAGAACATGGTGTGGGTCAGAGATGATGTCGTTATGGTATGCTGAGTCATAAAGTCTCTGAAAGGGTTGACCAACAATCTTTGAGCAGATTTTTAACAAGTGGGGCAGTTTTGATTTTAAAGCTGTTGACAAACACTTAGTATTGCAGTACTGTAGAATAGACAAATACAACCCACACAAACATCTGTTGGTCAATGGCCCCTGTTTTAATCGTTGTCCTCCGTCTGCAGACAAAATGTGAGCAGTACTGGCCCGAGGAGAACCAGGAGGAATACGGCGCATACCAGGTGACCCTGAAGAGCATCAACGCCCTGGCTTACTACACTCTGCGGACGTTCTCTGTCAGAGACACCACAAATAAGGTACGTCGTACACACACACAGACACACATAAACACATTAACGCATAATAACACTGTCTCTCTCCTCTAGGCTCCTCAGAAGAGAGTTGAACACACAGTCCTACATTACCACTACACCCAGTGGCCAGACATGGGCGTCCCAGAATACACTCTGCCTCTGCTGTCCTTCATCAGAGCGTCCTCCAGGGCGCGGACGCAGGAGATGGGACCCGTCCTCATACACTGCAGGTATAAACTGGGGATTTACAGTGAGATTGCTACTATTTCATATACATACAGTAGTGTATACTCATGTTGTGTTTTTGATATGTGATCCCAGTGCGGGTGTAGGGCGGACAGGAACCTACATAGTGATTGACAGCATGCTGCAGCAGATCCAGGAGCAGGGCACTGTGAACGTTCTCGGTTTCCTGAAACACGTTCGGACGCAGAGGAACTTCCTGGTTCAGACGGAGGTAAGCGACCTATCACACACACACACACACACACACACACACACACACACACACACACACACACACACACACACACACACACACACACACACACACACACACACACACACACACACACACACACACACACACACACACACAACCATAAGCACACACAAGGAGAACAACGTGTCTCTGTGTTTCCTCTGGTAGGAGCAGTACGTTTTCATCCATGACGCTCTGGTGGAGGCCGTCATGAGCCGTGGCACCTTGGTGACCTCTGACCTCCTTCACACTTACGTGTCTGACCTCCTGACCCCCGGGGCATCGGGCAGGACACGCATGGACAAACAGTTCAAGGTAAACCCTAACCATAACACTTCTTTACGTTTTAGGCATGCGTTTAAACCGACACTTACCCTCATGGTTCTGTCTTGTTTCAGTTGATCAGCCAGCGCCAGGCGAAGCACGCAGACTACAGCACCGCCCTGAGAGACGGCAACGCTGAGAGGAACAGAGCCCGGGCCCTGATGCCTGGTGAGCCCACAGCCTGTTCACACACAAGTTCATTTTCAAGTTTCAAGGCTTTATTGTCATTTGCACATTAGCTACAGTGTGGATATGGCAATGAAAAACGTAGGTCACAGGCTCCTCCAACAGTGCAACATATATATAGGACATGGAACAAATAAAACAGATAAACTAGTGCGAGACACAGTATCACACCCTGGTGGCGGAGAGGTGCACACCATGTAGTGATCAGCTGTCTTTTGTTTTTGTGCAGTGGAGCGATCGAGAGTGTGTCTGAGCGCTTCAGAGTCAAACTCCACCGGCTACATCAACGCCTCCTACGTCTTGGTGAGACAACAGGAAGTGTGTTGTTAGATGTTTGGGACATCAACATGTGCTGGTAGTTTCATGCTGCTGCTGCTGCTCTTTCCACAGGGACATCACCACAGTAAGGAGTTCATGGTGAGCCAGACTCCTCTGGACAGCACGGTGGCAGACTTCTGGAGACTGATCTGGGAACACGACACACACACTGTTGTCGGTCTGCCAGACACACACTGCCAGGTATAACACTCATTACCACAGACTGTATATAAAGATGGACATGGCAGCTCTCTGAAAGCAGCGCCAAAACATCTCCATTGTCCCCTAGAGGCTGTCTGCAGTATAGCTCATATACAGGAAATAAGACGAAAGAATAAGACTAAGAATAAAAACACATCAAATACAGTTTTCCCATATTTTAAGTATTTTAGGTTGTTCTTATCACACTGTTCTTATGTGTTAGTGTTAATTTTCCGATAACTTTGGTCTAAATGCGTCATTTTGATGCTATAAAATGGGTCTAGGACGTCAAGATTGCCAGCTGTTCCATAATCGTCACTTAAGAAATGTATATATAGACATATTTCGAGCCTCCCCCTCCTGTGTTGTCCATTAAAAGTCCATGATATCAACATGTGCTTCCTGTTTCCTGTTCACATCAGAGTGAAGAGGGCGGTTCTTGTGTTTACTGGCCCAGTAAAGACCAGCCAATGAGCTTTGAGGGGTTAATTGTGTCATTTTCGGGGGAGGAGCATGTGTGCCTGTCCAATGACGAGAGACTTCTGGTGCAGGACTTTACGCTGGAATCCCAACAGGTAACACACACATACTGTACCTCTAACCATATTCTGTTAACTAACACTAGGATGGGTTAAACCAAAAGTGTGACTATTCAGAAAAATATTTCCAAGACTGTGTTTCTCTCTCCGTCAGGACCACCATGTGTTGGAGGTGCGTCAGTACAGCGCCCCCTGCTGGCCAAACCCTGACAGTCCAATCAGCAACGGCTTTGATGTGATCCGTACAGTCAGAGAGCACAGCAGACTGTCGGACAGCCCCACACTCGTACACGACCCGTGAGTACCACACAGAGAGCAGCGCCTGTTCCTTTCACTTCCTGTTCATTTGCTCTGTGGGGGTAAATATCTGTGTGTATCTGTGTGTATCTGTGTGTGTGTGTGTGTGTGTGTTTTCGTAGGTTGGGCGGAGCGACATCAGGGCTGTTCTGTGCCCTCACCTCTCTGTGCAGTCAGCTGGAGGAAGACGGAGCGGTGGATGTTTACCAGGTGGCACGGATGACCAACCTCATGAGGCCTGGGGTGTTTAATGATATAGTAAGTTTGGACACACACACCAAAACACTCACACACTAATGTGCTTTCACACCTAACCTGTTTGGTTTGGACTCATTTTGTGGCATATAACCTATTTATAGTCAGCATAGTCAGTCCTTTAAAAAGTGTGTAACAGCAATCCCACATTAGCCTGACTCATTACTGTCTTTACCTCATTACTCAAACACATGGTTGATTTGCCCAATACAACTTATAATCAGGTGTTTCTTGATGATCTCTTTGTTGCACTTATATAATATTTATAAAATAGATCAAAAGCATTAGAGTGCTGCGGACACTTCTGTCAGTCACAGAGTTTGTTTTGCCCATGTGTCCTGTTGATGCAGGATGCTAAACGTTAGCACAAGTTCATGTTTACACTTCAGTTTAAACGTCAGTGTGAACAGGAACCGGACCAGAACAAAAATGAAACAATGGATTATTGTCCTATATTTTTCTGGACTACATGAACCGTGTGAAAACAGCCTTAGTCCTTACTCCTTCCTACCAAACTTAGCTTTGACAAACAAGGACAAAAATGAATAACAACCAATGAGAGATATACAATCCTAAGACTGTAGAGAGAAGAAGCTGGTAATGTTTTTTTATGATAAAGCTGTGAAGCCCTGACTGTTGCAGTGCTTCCTCCCCAGGAGCAGTACCAGTATCTGTACCGCGCCGTGCTGAGCCTGGTGAGCAGCCAGGAGGACCAGAGAGCGCTGCAGAGTCCAGAGACCAACGGCTCCGTGCCGCTGGGTCAGAACAACGTCGCTGAGAGCCTGGAGTCACTCATGTAGACACACAACACACAACACACAACACACGCACACGCACGCACGCACGCACTCACTCACACACACACACACACACACACACACACACACACACACACACACACAGCTCATTTCTGATGTGGCGCCTCTTTTAAAACCAGAAAAAGTGCCACTTTCCAGTAAAACGGTGATTATAAAGGACTTCCCGTTTGTTCAATAACTACTGGAGTGATTCATGGTTAACAGATCCTTTACTAATGCTCTATAGATCAGTTAGTTTGTGTTGCCAGGTTGAGAAAGCTCCCCTAAAATCGATTTAGTACAATTATAACTGAATTGTTCCCGTGTTATTAGACAGCAAAAACATAACGAACATTTATTGATGAATTGGCAATATTTAGAAGCATATAACTGATCTATAAAGCATTAATAAAGTGTCTTATAAGCATAAATAAATCCATTAGTTAGACTACACATAAACAAATGTGATTAAAAAATATAATATAAGATATTTTTCTTAACGATGAAGAGTCAGCTACAGTTACACTTAAACTAAATGTACAACTTCTGCAGCATTGTTTAGATTTAGTTTTTGTTCCTATACTCAAGGCAAAACTCAAATGTATACAAATGAAACAAGATTACTTTAATTTAAAAAAAAAGGGAACGTACATTTTCCTAAGCCCTTGATTTCTTATACATTGTATGCAGTGCACAACATTAACCAGCAGATTTTGGGGCTCAATCTACCACTTCTCCGTATTTAGAGTCATATTTGACCTCTTCAGGCCTCACTAGTGACATTGATTATTTGACGTAAAGGTGTTTACCGCTGTTACACTGGCTCAATGGACTCTGATACCCCGTGCCTTTTCTAATTCATCCTATCGTACTCAAACCAAGCCTGTTTTGATACAACTGTGTGACTAATATGCCAAAATAATGACCTGTGATTTTTTTCTACTTTATTCAAGTATTTTGCGCATGTTGCTCTGTATGTAAAGGTCTGAGAGGAGATTAAAAGGCATCGGATATTTTGTAAAAGATGCAAGTTGTCCCCATTAGCCTGATGGCTTATATATGCGGGGATAAGAAGTAACAGTTTTTCGTAAGGAATTGAATCCATAGGTTTTAATAAAGGGCAGAACATGTTTAAACCTCCGAAATCTCTCCTGCAGCACAAGAATCAATCATTAGAATCAGCGAGAATCAAATCAGTGCATCACTCAGCCGAGACAAAAGCCGTGTTTCCATTGATTGATTGATTGATTGAAAAGTTTATTAACAGCTTGTATATTGGGTACAGTACAGTACAGCTCAAAACATACAATTGTTAAGGGGATGCAGACCAGAGAAAGACTTTCGTCTTGTTTACATCAGGGTCCCCCATTTCCAATTCATCATATCATTTAAGACATATAAGACATATTTGACATACAGATGGCTTATTTACAATTTACATACAGGTGGTTTTTTACATACAGATGGCATTCACATTTGGACGTATCGCATCAGAGAATTACCATTCATTTCGGGGGGGAAATTGCCTTAGTTTAAAAGGAATTGATGCTAAATGTAAACTCCTCTGTAGAATAAGTTGTTTCAAACATTTAAAGGTAGGGTAGGTACGTTTGAGAAACCGGCTCGAGATCGCTAGAATTTGAAAATACACAACCAGAGAAAATCTGCCACTTCCTTATAAAGCCCCTCCTCCAACACACACGAACGCGCACATGACCAATGAGGGCACGAGATAAGTTTGTGCCCCGATGGAAGGCTGACAGGCAGGTAGGCCATCCAGTTATTTTAGCCGGGCCGGCTAAAATGATTGGTCGTGCTTTTTACAGTATTACTTCTTCCACAGATGACATTTTTTTATGGATTTTTTGTCAAAGCACTTAAGATATTCATTGCTATCGGGATGTTAAGAGCATTCCATGGAATATAACAAAAAGTGTATCTCGAGCCAGTTTCTCAAACGTACCTACCCTACCTTTAAGTCACATGACTGATCAGCTGTTTCTGCTGACATGTATTTATATTGTCACCAGGAGAGAGACATTTAAATATTGCTTTTGTTACCCAGAGGAGTACAGCCACTTACTTCTGTCCAAACTACGCTCTGTGGAGGCAAATTAACTCTACACCAGATGATGGAAGGTTCTTCTTGGATGCCTATTATTTTTTGTGTGAAATGTCAGCTTTTCTTGACATTTCTATGGAAACACGGCTCCATTGTTGCGTTCAGTGACAGTGGAAAGAAAGACAGACTTCCTCACGTCCTGCATCCCTGTGCCACTCGCTACGACTGTTTCCATTTTGCAGTTTGTTTCCACTGCCTCAGACCCGATCAATCGATGTCTGAATAACGTGCTGCAGCTTCTGTCTGCCTCTGTTTTGCTTCCGCCATTTATTTTGCTCATCTGGGGAAGCAAAATGGCACAAACGGCGACTGCACCCACTTTCTGTGTAAATATCCCTGAACACATCAAAAGGCCAAAATTACTGTATGTATACTGTACCTCTATATATTTTCTATTTTACTATAAAAAAAGTGATTTTCTAGTCCTTTACACATATGGTATACCTGTGTGGATCTATTTGATAACTTTAGCCTGGAAATGTTGGTCATGTTTATAGTTTTAATGGAATGTTATCTCTTTTTGTCTTTTTGATTACAGTAGCAGCTTAATGTCCATCCCTTGTATGCCCAGCCATACACTGGTGCAGTATGTAAATAAATAAAAATAGCAACACGATTTATGTTTCCAACCTTGTTTATGATTTTAAACTTGTTTATTTTTCCGGGTGGGAAACAAATAAAATTTTCTTGTTCAGACCTAAACTTCTCCCTTTATTTTTTTAATTGTCTCCATTTATTTTGTTCTTCGCACTTTTCAAAAAACGATGCAATTATAAAAACACAAATGTACCAAAATATTTTCCGTTTGCAACGCTTCTAGTAAAACCTGTGCATGTTTCGTGAAGTTGTTGAAAATGTTTCTGAAACTTGCATGTGTTTTGGCAAGTTTGCATTTTTATATTTGCATCGCTTGTGAAAGTGCAGCCTGTTTCTCATAATGAAAATGTTTCGGACTGTTGTAGCGCGTTGGCACCTGTCGGCCACCGTACCACACATAAAGACACAGCACAGGACAACAGATTCATCATGCTTTTATTTATTTATATTATGAAACATTATATGACACCCCCTGATCAAGTTCAATAATCAATACAACAAATGAAGTCAAAACCAAAAATATATATTATCATGTAATTATCTTTACATTTGTATTACACAATATACTGGAGCAGTCACATACGATAAAGTGTATATAGTGCGTTAAGAATTAACCTCGTTATGCGGTAACAATATAAGGACAAAACTGGGAATATTTATTCTCTTTTTATATATTTCCTTAAAATGGTCAAGCACTTCCCCTTCACACAATGCGTGGATATGACAGGTTCAAGTACAAAAGGGGCAAATATTGACTTTTTAACACTGTATGCTGTAGGCTTCGTTTAAATCACGTTTTGTCTTTCTCGAGCGACTTTTAGGGAAAACGTAACACTTATTTATTCCTTTTTAAATGTTTACAAATGAAAGGTAAGTTAAGGTGGTGAACGAAGCAAGGCCTCCCTAAAAAAGGCCGGATTTTTTCTTAAAGATAAGGTTAATTTGTGGCGTACATTTGTTAAATAACTAAATATTTCCTGATAAATTACACAGTCAATAATAATATGTAGTCTTGTGCAATACACGGCGTGCAAATGCAAGTAATACAGGCAATAAAACACTTTTTATATTTCATTATATATATAACATATATTTAAGTGGAAATGGCTACATGTTCTACTTTACCCCAAAAGCTTCAGCACCACACCCTTCCCCCTGTTTCAAGCACATGATGAGAGACTGAAAACGACCAGAATCTCTCTTTTTCTTTTGAAAGGAATTGTCACATTTACACATCGTAAAACCCTGGAGATGAACACCAGTCATAAATAAATCCCGGTTAACCTGCTTCGTCATTTTTGGATAGAAATGTCCTATGGAGAAAAATCGACAGCATGCTCTAGCATTAAAATATAATATTTTATAAAATGTTGTATAACTTGTTCTAATGACTATAAACAGACAACGATTTAAAATAGTTCAAATCAATGAAACTGATATTGTTTTTTGAAAGTTTGAGAATTTAGAAACACTTAATTTAACCCTCGCTATCGGAGCCTAACGCAAGTCTGTTGTTTGCAAAATATGATATTGAAGCTGTGTGTGTGTGTGTGTGTGTGTGTGTGTGTGTGTGTGTGTGTGTGTGTGTGTGTGTGTGTGTGTGTGTGTGTGTGTGTGTGTGTGTGTGTGTGTGTGTGTGTGTGTGTGTCCAGTATTTGTAGTGATGTAATACATATGTGTTTACATCACTACAAACTGTGTTGCTACAGGTCTTCTCTCTTCTTCTCTGCAGCCTTCATTTCACTGACAACCCTGGTGGACACAGAGGATAAATTAGAGAGGAGAATTAAGCAGTGTGTGTGTGTGTGTGTGTATACGTACAGAGTTGGTTCGTTTGCGTTTCCAGCAGTCTGGGTTGAGTCTCTTCTGCTCGTCAGCGAGGGCTTTGGCCTGCACGGTGAACGTCCGTTTCTCCTCACTTCGCAGTTTCTTCCACTGCTCCCCAAGGAGGACGCTGATCGCCCTGAATCACCCACACACACATATGTATTACATCACTACAAATACTGGAACACACACACACACACACACACACACACACACACACACACACACACACACACACACACACACACCACACACACACACACACACACACACACAACACACACACACACAACACACACACACACACACACACACACACACACACACACACACACACACACACACACACACACACACACACACACACACACACACACACACACACCCCCCCCTACCTGTTGTCCTTGCCGGGGTACATCTGTGTGTACTCCACCCTGAACCTCTTGGCGAACAGCATGAAGGCGTTCATTGGCCGCTTGCACTTAGTGGGCGGGGCATTATTACTTCCTGCTGCGCTGGCTTGCTGGGTTTTGGTTGGCTTGAGACATGGAGAGGGGGAGGGACCGGGACTGTGGGCGTCTGCAGGTGTGATCACAATGACAGGTTTACTTTGGTTACCTTTCCTATAGTGTTTTTGTTCACTGCATTAAAGTGCTGTACCTCGTAATGTGTCTCTGTCTGGAGAGCCGCTGGACTGGGAGGCACGCCGCCGCCTGGCCATGCTGCTCAGCACGTAGACGGCAGAGGAGTCCAGAGGAGTGAAGTCGTAACTGAGGAAGACACAGAGGGAAACATTTCACACACACACTCGCTCATCAGCAGCTTCAGGTTGGGAACAGGGGGGATTTGTACCTCTTAAATGTGTCAAAAACCAGCGAGTCGTCGGTGTGTTTGGCTTCTCTGTGTCCTGGAGGAAGGCACACATCACCCACCTCCATTTCATAGCACGGTATCCCATAGTGCACCACGGTCAGGCTCGGGTGAAATGATGACCACCCTAACAGGAAGTGAATGCAATGTTGTTTTGGAAGATAATTCATCCTCTGTATGATGTGCTTTTTAAGTGTTTTCTCATCATGCCTACCTTTGTTTTTGACGTAGAAGGGGTGGTCAAGTTGGCAGCGAGCGCTCATGACAGCTTGTCCGAGCGCCCCGGGGTCAAAGGTCAGCTGTAGCACAGCCTGACCGGACAACACAGTCTCTGAATGCTCCACCAGCTGCAGACCCTCGGGGCCATAACCCTGAAATGATGTACAATCCCTTTATTTGAATGGATCATTTCCAGTGAACTAAAGCGTCATACATAATAATGTCTATGTAACATCATGTACCTTCAGAGACCTGGATCCTTCCTCCTCACCAGAGTCTTCCTCAGCATAGTCCAGGTCCTCCACGTCCTGCCAGTCCACGTTTGAGCCACTGTGGAAACGCAGACGAGTCCCTGATGACAGAGAAGAGTTATAAACAACAGCTTTTTACCTAAAATCTCACTTTCATGTGTTCCTAGCAGTGAACAACGTGTGTGTACCTTTGAGGAAGCAGTGCCAGGTGGTGGGGGGGCAGGAGAAGCTCCAGCCAACGTCTTCCTCGTCAGACGGAGAGGATCTGGAGGACACCGCTGGTTCCCTGCTCCTCTGTGGGGACATGAAGCACATCTGTTCACACACTGCAGCACACAGCGTTCTACTGGGTGTGTCTGAGGTGAGCCGTCTATTTAAGTAACATACTGTAAACACGATAAAGGGTATTTTTTAGATGTGTTTCTCAGACATTGTTGTTCAGAAAGAGGTAAAGAGAGCTGTACCCTGGTGCGGAGGCGCTCCCTACCACGACCTCTGGGGGGCGACGGGGTGCTGCTGGGGAGAGAGGGGGGAGGCCGAGCGTAGGAATGTAGATTACTGCTGGTGCTGGAGAGGCTGGAGCTGAAAATGACACAGGCTCAGGACAGGAATGCAGGCTGAGGGAGTGCAGCACGTAAGACTGCCCAAACAACAATCTGAGGAACAGTTTACATTCTACAACTGCATACATAATATACACTTTGAAAAATATATATGCCCTAGCCATACACTTCCCCAAATAACAATGGATTGGGGCATTGGGCCAACACATACAAATCTTAAATGTCACATTTTAAGCCTGATTTTGACACATTTTTCAATTATTAAAATGGACTTTTAAACTAAAATCCTTAAAGATAACTAAGATAAGATAAGATGGAACTTTATTTATCCACTTGGGGAAATTCCGGCGTTTATAGCAGCAACAGGGTCGGAGATAAAAACAAGATTCACATAAGGTAAAAATATAGACAAAATAGAATAAAAAATGAAAATAATAATACAAAATGTTTTTTAAATAAAGCGATAGTAACTGTTGAAAGAAGATATAGCATTTGAATGAACATGTTAAATATATTTATATAACTAGAATGACGACGTGTTTGATTTCATTGCTCAGAGCAAACAACGGGTGGATAGACATTTCTGTGTTTTTACTCTGATTATTTCAACACTACAGCAATGCAGCAACAATGCCCTATTTCACAATCATAGCTTTAACGACGACATTGTGAAACAGAACTGTGACAAGAAATAAAACAATACAAACAGTTAAAGGAATTTAGAATATTTAGGAAGGGAACCTTTTCCTGACTTATTATGAGTTGTTTGCTCCGATCTGTCACATGGATGGGGAGACAAATAGACTACAACTTTTATTTTCATTTAACGTTGGGGTCTTAGTCCAGCCCACGTACCTGCTGGGGGCCGGCTCCTGCAGCAGGGGGCTCTGAGGCCCGGTGGCGATGTGGGCCAGCTGTGTCAGCCAGTGTGTGTCAGGAGGGTGTGTGTGTGTATATCGCTGCTGGTGGGACACACCCACGTCCAACTGGTAGACTGCTGGCTCCGCCTCCTCCTGAACCTCCTGCAGGTCCGGCAGGTCGTCTAGGTGGAGAAAACAAACATTTCTAAAACATTTGCTCCAGAAATAACGCCTTCATGCACTATCACACAGAGGCAAGACAACATTCGACTGAAATTCACCAAAAGTTGAACTCCACACAAAGCAAAAATGAAAAGTTGCTCCATGAAGCGATGTTAATTTAGAAAATCTGTGACTATGCCCTTAAACTGAAGCTTTTCCTCCATCTGCTGTGAAAAACCAGGTGCACGCTTCTCTCTTACGTACCGTACTCCATGTAGCTGTCGCTGGTGGGGAAGCCGGGGGAGCAGGGGAGGCGTTCCTCACAGCAGAGCAGCTCAGGTAACTGTTCTCCACCTGTATCCATCACCACTGCTGAGGGGAACACCAGACACACAACAGGATAGGAGAATGGATTTATTGTCGGGATTTCACAATTTATTCGTAGATTAATGTGGCCATTTAAGTAACTTATATATGTATGGTATCATTGAAAACACATAGCTGTAATCCTTTCCATAATACACAACAAATGTTTATGTAAGTAGTCTGCTTTAATCAATATTTGTTGCTGTTAAGTCATCAAAAACTGTTTTAGAGGCAGTTGTCATTTTAAGACATTTTAAAAGGGACACATTTAATTCCATTTAAATTGAGGATTTTGTTTGAAGATTTATATTTTGTTAGGGGGGATGACGTGATAAAATAGGATGACTGATTTCTAAAGCTTAATTGGAATATATATATTATATATATATATATATATATATATTGGGGGCTTAAAGTCTGAGTACCTCTGGTTGGATTTTTCTATCACTATTCTACAGTACAGATGCCTGTTAACGGTGCTGTGTGTTACCTGTGTGTCCACCGCTCTGATGTTTGGGCTCACTGGTCACCACCTCCCACACCATGATGGTCTGAAACATGCAGACACAGAGCATCTATAGCCAACAACACTCACTTAATTTAAATGTCAATACAAAGGAAATAGACCTGTCATATGCTGTAGGAACAAATGTGACGATGTATACTAAGCATCATTGGCTATGAATCAGCCATGAGTCACAGACTGACACAGAAATGTGATCCTCCAGCGAGCTGTAATGTAAAGGCTATAAATGTCCGGGGTGACATAAGGACACAGAGGGCTGTTACCAAATACACAAAGCTCCGACACATCCTCACAGCGCAGTTTATATATGGAATAGATTGAGTATACACGTTGAAATAGTTCAGTCTAAACATGTAAACGTTATAAAAGCTAGTTTCATTCTTATCTATTTCACAATGTTCTCGTCATGTGACTTCTCTTGTTGATAAACTTTGAGATTATTTCACGCATGCGCATACAAGCCCATTCATTCAATAACGAGAAGGGCAGCGATAATACATCTGAAGTCGTTTAAAATAAGTGAAAAGCACGACAGTAACCACATATAATGGACATACTTTTGTGATATTATGGCTTGTTATTAAATGGAACTGCTGTCAACGTTAACACACGACGATACACTTCAAAGGAAGCAGCGTTATCTGCGGTCACGAAACAAAAGAAATACAGAAGTAACGTCGACGAAAATGAGAAAAAGCTTTAAAGTCTGTATGTTAACGACACATTAACCACATTAAAGAGACTTTAGGCGTGAAAATATCATTAAATTAAAGAATTTGGACGAGCCATTGTATTGCGCAAATGCAGTTAAAAAAAACAACTAACGTCAACAATGAAGGTTTACGGAGAGGGCAGAAAAAAGTCAATTTAAGACCTAAAATAAACGTTGTCAGTTTCAAATTATAACTCGTCTGCTGAGATCGGGTGAAATTCATACAATTGGTGTAATTACTTCTCATATTAAACGCTTTAAAACTCCCAAAATGATTTCAATGAACTTTCCTTAACTCACCAAAACAGTCGCCTTGTACGGTGGTGGGGGCTGGTATAAACATCGTGTGCCCTGTGATCCTATTGGTCAGAGCGGATGTCAATCAGCAGCTTATCTCATTCTCATTGGTCGTCTCAGTGCAGCTGGTTCTTATCGCTACAACATGAAAACATTGGGTGGGTTAAAGTAAGGACAGATGGCTGAACCAAAGTTAACAACTAAAACACATCTGATCTCCTGTGTAAAGAGCAAATATCTCTTTCCATTGACAGTATATTAAGTAGTATCTACCCTTTCATTCAATTGGCATAATCATGAAATAGCAAAAATACTTTAAAATGCAACAGAAAAACAGCCCAAGGCAGGCACCGCTTCCCTACATCCAGTGCAACAAGAACAACAGGCTGGCACATGTTTGTGACCCTGGCTTAAAACCCTTCAAGTACACTCTTTGTGATTATGTACGTTTCACTGCTGCCATCAGGAGAGGTAGAAGCCACAACTAGAGGCATTCTCACATTTGGGCAGAGAGAAACTTGGGAAAAACTTTACTTTAACTCAAAGAAAAACAAGTCAAAGAAACATTTAAAATACAATAATTGGGTTTAACCAAGAAAAACACTATTCATTGCTGGGTGATTATAAAGTTCAAGTCCAATAGTATTCAATCAAGTTAAGACTAGTTTGGTTAAGATTATGTGTGGCAAAATCATAATAATATTAATGATATATAAAAAATCTAAATATACAAGTTATTTTTATTCAGATTGTTACATACATGACGAGTCACATGGGTATTGTTTATTGTTTTATTTAATTAGAGGTGTTTTGTTCTGGAGATCATGCTGTCATGTCTGCCTCTTTGATGCTGGTGGAGCTGACACTTTAAGTGGAGAATCGTGAGTGTTTACTGCCCTCTAGCGGTCAGAGGGAGGTACTGCATAATCGCACCACACCTCAAATTAGACAAGATTACATTGTAACACTTCCGGTCCATCATTTCCAAATAAATCATCAGAAATGTTTGCCTGTGAGGTTTGCACTAGCAAGAACTATGCCTTTTTTTTGGTGCATACAATGAACATAATAACGGAAAATAAGATACATTAAAACGTTAAAAAAATTAACATAAATGCCAGATAATTATAAATGTGTAGTCTTTTTTATTCTTTTCTAGTGGCCAGACACTATAATTACACACAATTATGTTTAATCATTTTCAATCTCCATTTTTAGTCACGTTATTATCAATAATATTATCAGTATTTTTTGTTATAAGTAACAGTACTTTCTACATACATACGTACGTACTGTAGTTCCTCACTGTGACCACTGGAGGGCAGTGAACTCTCTTACTTAAATCGGACAATAATACATATTTCATAAAATATATAATATATTGTCACATTCCTTATTGTACAATATATTTAAAAAGGAAACTGACACTCATATCATTATAATATAGCCATACAAATGTCATACCTTTGATAATAATTATTTTAGAGTTGTTGTACAGTTTATTTTGAAAAGCAAAGGCGGAAGTGGTCCTTATCAGCCGGAGAGCTCATGGAGAACTTGACCATATTTCCTGTGCAGCAGCGCAGCGTTTCCTTATTCCACTCTTGACTAAACTTTTAAAACACATTTTTACTCTGGTTTAAGGTCTCTTCTTGTAGCATAAATGCCTACTTTTTCGTCCAAAGCTCCTGGTTTTGTTGCCGTCTGCGTTCATTGGTGAGTCATTCATGTTTCTGTGTTACTAAATACAGGCACCTTCCGATTATTATGGCAGCTGTACCGTTACATTCAGCACACTCTTTAAAAAGTTGTGTTAACTCCTTGCTTGGCTTTGTCTGTCTGTATAACAGCTGGTAAACATGTAAATATCTCTAACACAGAGTTTAAACAGCAGCCTGTCTCTGTGCACTTTAACACCAGTCACATCCATTCTGTGTTTAGCTGCTTCCTGCTTTGAACACTTCCTCTGCTAAAGAAGGGAAACCATTAATCTTGTGACTCCAGCCAATTTACATCATGAGTTTGATTTTTTTAACAATCTGTTATTGAGGCATTCCTAAATTTGTAAAGGCAATTAAACCCTTCCAGATACTTCAGTGCTAACATTGAGTTCATTGGATGTCATAGTCATTTTAGACACAGTACATAATAATAAAGGATTGCTTTGTTTAGGGACAGTCTCAGTCATAGAATCACACTTTTAGCTGTAGTTATTATAAATTACAGTTAGAATTTCCTAGTTTAAAGCAGAAATGTTCTCAGATAAAGTGGGTAGTAGATTTGCAGGAGCAGTGGAAATGACCCTGTCCTTGGTCATCAGGACATCAAACCCCTGGCAGAAATCTATGAGGCTAGACAACAAAAGAAAGACCTTTCAACCTTTTTTAATTTCCTCCCTCCTCACTTGAAGCCCAGAAGATATCCTGAAGCTGTCCGCCTCCACGCAGAGCTCTGCAGACCACAGGGCAGCTGTTTAATACACTTTATCTAGTGGTTCGTTTACCGCCACTGCTAATAACAGCTAATTACAACAGGCCCTGGTGTTTATCTATGATTTTGACTTTATTTGACCTATTTATTATATGCTAATATGATTATTGTATCAGTTGTATACCTGGTATATAGTCCTCTGCTCGCTGAATGAGTGGCACTACTATTTTGGTCTTTGTTCTAGTGAGACAACTAAGACAAATTCAAATCAACCATGTGGATAATATGGCAAAAAATATAGAATCAGGAATTTTGTTAGTCTTTAAATCAACACGAAACCTACAAATCAAATTATTGGACATGTTTAAGAAGAATGTAACCACTCTCAATGTGTGAGTGGCTGATTTCAAACTGAATCTGTTCGCACTGTCGCCATACCGGGACATTTGCTATTGTTTTGTGAAGTTTCATTCAAAAAAATGATTGAAAAGGATTTGATTAAATAGAAAATATTCAGTTAATTATTAGTCCTTACTTTCGACCTTGTTGCAGTTTCATCATTTGAAACAGAAATTGCTTTCACATCAATTTACAGAAACATTTTTTAGTTGTGATTGCCTAGAAGGTCAAAGATCATCGTTCCCTGATAAAAAGGTGTCTGGTATTACACATATCTACAGTACTGTGTCTGTCGCCCAGCAGCTAGGTGATGGACGGGCAGCAGACCCAGGTGAGCGACGAAGAGCCCAAAGTCCTGCGAGAAGAGCCCCGGAGGAGGAGGAGAAAGAAGGCCATCACGTCGTCGTCCGGCTCCTCCATGGATCAGATCAGTGTGGAGTTCATCCTGCCCACCGTGGTGCGGGGGGGAAGCAGCCCCGACTCTCTGCTGCTGGATGTGGCAGGAAACTGGACGGTGGAACAGGTGATTCTACTCATCATCACTGATTCATAGCGGATGTTGGGATGCTTTTAAAGGGGACCTATCATGCAAAATGCATACATACATACATGTGTGTCCCTGGTGTGTAAGGGAACTCACAAAGAGGTAGAAAACAAAACCCTCTCTCTTTTCCTCCGTACCCAAATCTCTAAAAAACGGGGGTACAACGGAGCTGATCCAGATTTGCGTCCGATATGATGTAATATCGGAAATGTGGGCTGGCTTTACACCCACGGCCCTATCAGAAACGTCGCTATCAGAAACAATGCGCAACGTGTTTTGGAAGCAATATGGTCTTTGTTTACATTAGCATCGCTAACACTCAGAGCTAACGCTGTACTGGAGAGAGTATGTGTAAACAAAGCATACTGTTTCAGAAATAGTCATTGATGTGGTTTGGAACATGATATGGCATTTAATCACGGCAGCATTCAGCTGAGTATCTCGGTAGAATTCTGAGCAGGCATAAGCTCCACCCCCCTCCTCTTCTTTTTTTCTTTTTTTTTTTTTTAAAGCTAAGGACCCAGAATCAGCATTTCTCTAACAAGGCTGAAATAGAGCGATATGAGGCATGGCTAGAATGGGTGATCTGTTTGGTATTTTGAGCAAAACACATCATAGACATGTTTTTATATAGAGACCCATAATATATCCTTTTGTGGTGTTTGCAGGTGAAAGCTCAGGTGTGGCTGAAGGCGGTGACTCTGAACCTTTGTCCGGACTTCTACCAGAGGTTTTCCCCGGACCACTGCATCCTGCTCTACCAGAAGAAAGGCAACGTGTGTGAGATCTACGACAAGCACCAGGTGTTCCAGACGCTGGACTGCATCCGCTACTGGAGAGGTAGCATCCGCTGACAGAGTGAATTCCCAATGCGAGTATGAACTGATGTAAAACATTTGTTGTTTTTTGAAGCCCTGAAGAAAGAGGTGGGGCGGATCCAGCTGCTCCCCCGCCCCCAGCCCTCAGACGAGTCCCTGCAGTACCAGCGATACCTAAACTACCTGATCGCCTACGACGTGACGGACGTCAGCAACGTGCACGACGACGAGCTGGAGTTCACCCGCAGGAAGCTGCTGACGCCGCGGCGCATCGAGCTCTCTGACCGAGACCCTAAACTCTACTCCATGGACCCCTGGGTGACCCGCAAGAGGCTCCCGGAGCGCCTGCTCAACAAGGTGTGTGTGGAAGGTTGATGGTGGAGTTCAGTGGTTTTATAATTTTGCTTTATTTTGCCCTTCATGCCACCTTTCCTGTGGGTAAAGCTTTCATTTACAGTACCAGTCAACACATATGGAATTATGTAGTAAACAGAAAAGTGTCAAACAAACAAGAATATGATTTATATTTAATTTGTTTCAAAGTAGCCCTCTTTTGCCTCGATGACAGCTTTGCAGACTCTTGGCTTCTCTCAGTCAGCTTCATGAGGAAATCTATTTATTTAAAATAAATAAAAACCTTCGAATGAGAAGGCTTGTCCAAACGTTTGACTGGTACTGTAGTTAACTGTGGCTCTTCCTCCTTCAGGCCAGTAACGGTAACATCCTGCTGGTGATCCACATCGGCACGGCCAGCCAGACCATCAAAGTGTCCATCAGTGACACGCCAGCACAGGTACACAGAGGTGCATATTCACACCTTTCACTAGCTTACAACTTGTCACTGTAACATTTTCATCTTCTTCAGGTACTGCTGAGCTTTTTCGCTAAGACGGCGAGTAAGAAAGCTTTGCTGGGAATTTCTGTGGACACATGTGAGGCAGACTTTGTGCTCCGTGTGTGTGGAAGGTAGCTACTCAATCATTAAGACAATATAATGAAGTGTGCATTGATGAGTAATTCCCTGGTGGTAGTTTTAAAAAGATAACGTTTTAAGCTTCTCTGTGTGTGTTCGCTCAGGGAGGAGTACCTGTACGGGGATAAACCTCTGCAGGACTTCAACTGGGTCCGTCAGTGTCTGAAGAACGGGGAGGAGATCCACCTGGCCCTGGAGGACGCCCCTGATCCAGACCTGGACCTGGTTCAGAAGGAGAACTGGGCTCAAGTGGACGACTGCACCGGAGTGGCGGGTAAGCTGTGAGGTTAAACACGCCGTCTGTGTGGATTTGATGCTGTAGCACGTACATTATGCACGATTTCTTTGTCAGGTACCCATGAGCAGCTGACCATCGATGAGAAGGACCATGAGCGCGTGTTCACCATCTCCATGTGGGACTGCAACAGGAAGTTCAGAGTGAAGGTGCTGGGGATCGACATCCCATCCCTCCCCAAAATCCCAGAGCTCATTGTCTTCATAGAAGCCAGCATCTTCCACGGCCAGCAGCTCTTAGCTCAGGTAATCCAGAGAGGAACTTCATCTGGAGGGAACTTCGGGATTTGAGCCTTTTCAGACCATTCACATGCAGGACAACCTAAATAACACACTAAGGGAAAGGGAAAGGGACAACTCCTAAAAGCATAATAAGGCCTCTTTAAGTGCTTTATTGTTAACTTTGCATTGGCAGTAATGTATCAGCTGAAAGAGAGGGAGCTGTGAGGCAGATATTCATCAGATGAAATCAAACAAAAGTGCAGCGGTGTTTCCTGTTAACATTTACTGCAGGAAGGTCATTTGAATCCCGAAGCTCACACCGAAAAAACAACCATAGAGAGTACGGTACAGTATGTAAATCCTTTAAAGGGAAATTGCGCCAAAATTGGCCACCATGACATATGAGCATTTGTGAAAAGCACACATTCATTTTGTACAGCAGATTTAACCCTGTGCTTTGTTTCTCAGGAGAGGACGTCCTCTAAGAACTTCAACGAAGAAGTGTTGTGGAACTGCTGGTTGGAGTTTAACATAAAGATCAGGGACCTGCCGAAAGGAGCACGCCTGAACCTGCAGGTAACAATTCAATCAGAGGACGGGTAAGGCGGGTGAATGCAAGAACTATGTCGGCCATTTTACTTCTCCACTAACTACCGGCTCTGGTCCCAGGTGATCTGTGGGAAGCAGCCCCTAACTCCAACCTCTAAGGGGACCTTGTCCTACCAGGATACTGCAGCATCGACAGGCAGCCATGAAGGTGAGGTTCGCTAACATTGCGTAACTGCGCCATGTTGACAGTCAAATTCAAATCTCAATTCAACGGTGTTATTGTCATATGCACATAAGCTACAGTGTAGAAATGGCAATGAAATTCTTCTGACCGGAGCTCCTCCAACAATGCAACATATATAATCAAATACAAAAATAAAAAGTAGTGCAAGAAGTCTATATACATGTAAATAGAATATGATATGTACAACAGAATATGTAATTAAATAATGTACATTAAGACACAATTACATACGGTTTATGGCGGTTTAGTTTAGTTTATTTGTTTATAGTGTCGTGGACAGTCCCCATTGATCAACTGTCACAAAAACAGTAAATGGGGCAGCAACACACACGCCGTATTCAACACAGACTAGTGTGTGCAGGTGTAGTTTTCAGTGAACCGTGTTTTTAAGAGAGCTGTAAAGGTGGTATATGTATGTCTTTTGATTTGAGTGGGTAGAGAGTTCAACACGGTGATAACAGAGCGTCTGTGTGTCTGTGGTTCTTTCAGGAAAGACCAAGAGTCGTCTCCTGTACTACGTCAACCTGCTGCTGATCGACCACCGCTCGCTGCTGCGCCAGGGCGAGTTCATCCTGCACATGTGGAAGATGCCGGAGAAGAGCGAGGAGAGCAGCAGCAGCATCAACGCCGACAAGCTCACCTCGGCCACCAACCCCGACAAGGCGTCCGCCATGGCCATCGCCATCCTGCTGGACAAGTACTGTTACCCCGTGGTGCTGCCCAAGAGCCGGGACGTGTGTCGGGACGGGGGGGGCGGCGGCGGCGAGGAGGCTGAGGGGGAGCGCGGCCAGAGAGAGATGCCCAACCATCTGAAGAAGCAGTTTGCGGCCATCGTGAACACCGATCCCCTCCACCCACTCAGCCCGGAGGACAAGGAGCTGCTGTGGCACTTCAGGACCGAGTGTATGCGCGACCCCAGGTACTTGTTTCATTCTTTATGTGGTGCACAATGCTAGGGACCAACTGTTTAGGGAATGCTTAGCCTTTGAATGAGGAGCTCAGGGGATGTCCTCACGTAAAACTGTTTAAAAAAAATAAAGGTATAAGGACATGATGATTTTTCGCAAGATACAGGGATGAAATTGTTGAATGATAACTGGGTGTTTATTTATTTATTTGGTTTGTTATTTTATCTTTTCTTGATTACCATTTACCTCTTTTATGTATTTGTTTATTTATTTATTTGTTGTTTTTATGGTTTGTTTGGTTTGGATGGTGGATGTAAAAAGATAGTCTTTTATATGTGTCTTATCAAATATGACATACAACGTAAAAGAATAATACATATATACATTGTAGTAATGATGATATACTCTATTTATAATTGTAAATGTATATTGTATGTACATTAGACATACATATAGATGTACATTTTGGTAAAAGACAAAAAAAAGAAGTTAATAATTTCGTTTTTGGGAGAAGGGGTAACTTCTTCCCACCCCTTTTCGGATGTGTAATTAGGTATATCATTTGTTTATATATAATTTGTAAGTCAATAATATTCTTATTTATCAATTTGATACTGCTTAAGTTTGTACAGTATCATAATTCTCTTGTTTAATTTCATTATTATTATTATTTTTGTATTATTGTTTTACATGTTCGAAATAAATCAAATCAAATCAAATTCTTTAGCTTTCATTACCCATCCCCTCTGACTAGAAGATCTCTTACTGATAAACATGTCCTCCTGTCTCTCCTCAGGGCCTACCCTAAGCTGCTGGCCTCAGTCAGGTGGGGGAAACAGGAAGACGTCCTGGCAACACACCGTCTGCTAGAGCGCAGCAGTGCGTGGGACAGCAGGTAAGATCTGACTGTGTGTACGTAATATGTACGTGTCCTCAGAAGCTTCAGTGTCCCCTCAGCTGTCCCCTTGTTGTCCCCGCTCAGTGGTCTGGATGTGGGTCTGGCCATGCAGATGCTGGACTGTCACTACTCAGACGCTCAGGTCCGCTCCATGGCCGTCAGGAAGCTGGAGACTCTGGAGGATGACGATGTGCTCCGATACCTCCTTCAGCTCGTCCAGGTGATACTCTTCACCATCTCTGTCTTTAGGCTAAGCATTTCTTCCAGTTGTCTTTTATACATACATATGTGTCCCCGGTGTGTCAGGAGACTCGCAAATACAACCTTCTCTCTTTTCCTCGGTACCCAAATCTCTAAAAACGGGGGTACAACAGAGCTGATCCAGATTTGCGTCCGATATGACGTAATATCGGAAATGTGGGCTGGCTTTATACCCACGGCCCTATCAGAAACGTCGCTATCAGAAACAATGCACGACGTGTTTAGGAAGTAATATGGTCTGTGTTTACATTAGCATCGCTAACACTCAGAGCTAACCTGTACTGGAGAGAGAATGTGTAAAAAAAGGAGCTCCCCCCCCCTTTTTTTTTTAAAGCTACGGACCCAGAATCAGCACTTCTCTAACAGGGCTGAAATAGAGGGGTATGAGGGACGTCTAGAATGGGTGATCTGTTTGGTATTTTGAGCAAAACACTTCATAGACATGTTTTGTATATATCTGAGACCTATAATATATGCCTACAAATAGTATAATAGGAGACCTTTAATATATTTGTGGTTATGTTCTATTCATTTGACATTGTTGACCAACCAGAGGATTGCCAGCAGAAAAAGATGCTAATGATCAGAGTTAGTTGACTCTGAGCCTCACTCTCCTGATTCCCAGGAAGCAGCAGCAGCAGCTCATGGAAAGGTCAACAGATGCATGTTTGCTGTATTAGCTGACTTTGCATGAGCAGTATAACAAATGTACTGTTGTCACGGAAAAGATAGGAAAATGACTCCACAGTAATCTGCTGTCTCTGTATTATATAAGACAAATATATTCATAGAGAAGTACTCTACTGACTTTGTTTAACATACTGATTTAGATTATTTTCCAAATATTTAAAACACTTTCTTTATAACACAATGCCTGAGATCACCTCTCATTTAATTTCCGATGTGTTCACTTTCCAAACTAAGCATGGCTAAATCACACAGGGAAGAAAGTAAATACTGGGTAAATACTTACTAACTTAATCATGTTCAGATAATCACAATTTAATGTGAAAGGAAAGTGATGGATTTATTATTTAAAAAAATATTTGTTGCGTCATAAGTCTACTGTACGACAAAGAAGCGCTTTATTATATATATTATTTATTAAGTATGTCCGTCCGCCCATCTGTCCACTCTCTGCTTCCCTTAGGTCACATTTGCATGTCAGTGAGCACAAAGAGCTCTGTGTGTGAATATCATGTCCCCTCTCACTCTAACCTGTCTGCTGTCGGGCCTTTACATGTGCAGAGTAGTTCAAATATACAGCTTTTAATATCAAAGACGCCCGATACAATACATTTATTGTGCATGTTATTTTTTGTGATTTGTGTATCCCCTCCTCGGCATTGAAAGATTGTATCTGTATTTCCTACCCTATTCAATATTCAAACCTGTTTTTGCCATGTCTTGAATGTGGCTTTGTTCACATCCGCTTACAAAATGTCAACCTGCCGCATTCTATGGGATTCCCACCATGTGGTTTGGCGTGTATCCAGAGGCGGTGGAATTGGGTTTCACATGACAACAAACATACTTCCTTGTGTCAAAAAATAAGTGTTTTTGAAACCACAAAATCAAATAATTGAAGATGCATTTATCAGAAATAAGCCACATTGCAATGCCTTGAGTTGTTTGACGAATAAAATGTCTTTCTTTTTTTCAGGCAGTGAAGTTTGAGCCGTACCATGACAGTGCCCTGGTCAGGTTCCTGCTGAAGAAAGCTCTGAGGGTGTGTGTGTGCGTGTGTGTGTGTGTAGACAGATACTTAAAAGCAATCAAATCTCAAAAGTTCTGGAAAAATAAAGGCAGATTGTGACCAAATGTTTTCTTTGTGTTGTAGGACAGTACATGTTCATTAATTATACCCCCATTAAGCACTTACATTACTCACCTTGCCCACGTCTGATCGCTAGCTCTCTGCACCCACACTATCATTTTTATATGAGTAATCTTTCCGTCCACAGAGTAAGCGTATCGGTCACTTCCTCTTCTGGTTCCTGCGCAGTGAGATCGCTCAGTCCATGCACTACCAGCAGAGGTACGCCGTGCTGCTGGAGGCCTACCTCAGAGGCTGTGGGGAGGAAATGCTGCAAGACTTCAGGAAACAGGTGAGGCAGAGGTCCTCGAACACAACACTGTGTACATAACAAAACAGCTAATAATGAAGTGATGCTGTCCAGGTGGAGATGACGGAGGCTCTGCAGAAAGTCACCCGAGAGATGAAGGCCATGTACGCCGACAAGTACGACATTACTACACAAGGTCAGGAGGAATAAAAGCAGAGAGTGTTATAAGTTCAATATCGAGGTTCTATTGGTTCCTTTGTGTAGTTCTTGAGTTTGTGTAGTGAAACTGCAACCGTGTGTGTGTGTGTGTGTGTGTCAGTGGTGTTTCAGCTGCGTCAGAAGCTGGAGACTCTTCAGTCGGCCGGTTCTCCCAAGAGTTTCAGAGTCCCTTACGATCCTGGACTAAGAGCTGGAGCCCTGCTGGTGAGGGACACACACTCACACTCACACTCACACTCACACTCACACTCACACTCACACTCACACTCACACTCACTCAATCAAAATTCGATATATACATACACATACATATGTACACATATACATACACCCATTTCCAGGGTGAAAATAAAATAATAAAGTAACAAAAATAACAAAATAAATTCCTACAAGTCCATGTTCAGATAACAAAACAGTTTCATTTCTCATCCTATTTTTATATAAACTATGATAATTAAGATAATTATGATCATAGTTATTATAATTATTATAGTTATTGTAATTATCATTATTATTATTATTGTTATTATCATACATCCATATAATCTTTTTGTAACTTTTTTTTAGTCAAGCCAAAGGCACAATGACCGGAAAAAAATATACAAAAAAAAATTAAACAAAAACAGCAGCTAGGTATACCCATTATTGGTTAGTTGGAGTATATTATATTTATTATAGTATATTATATTTATTTGAGAGACATACCGTTTGTGCACTTTCAGATCGAGCAGTGTAAAGTGATGGCGTCTAAGAAGAAGCCGCTGTGGCTGCAGTTCAAAAGGGCCGACCCCACCACCCTGTCCAAGGACCCCATCGGCATCATCTTCAAAGACGGGGATGACCTCAGGCAGGACATGCTCATCCTGCAGGTGAGCGGCGTCACAGTGTAACACCGACATTATGACTCCTCGGAGGACTCAAAGTTCACTCGTGTGTCCCTGTAGATCCTGCTGATCATGGAGTCCATCTGGGAGACGGAGTCCCTGGATCTCTGCCTGCTGCCGTACGGCTGCATCTCCACCGGGAACAAAATAGGTCGGTCATTCAACGGAGAACATCACAGATGAGAATATTACAGCCATTCTGTGAGATTGACCCCTCCTCTATCGTTGTTGTATCGCAGGTATGATAGAGATTGTGAAGGACGCCACCACCATCGCTAACATCCAGCAGAGTGTGGTGGGGAGCACGGGGGCTTTTAAAGATGAAATCCTCTATCAGTGGCTGCGGGACAAGTGTGTCTGCGAGGACAAGGTACTCCCTCAGGACATGCCCGTCATTACCTGCTTGATTTGATGGACTATATCTGGATTATTGAAGCTGAAACACGTTCTAATGCATTGCCCTGTAGACATGTGTGTTATTTATGGATTCAATGTTGTGATGGTGGTGACTCCAGCTGCTGCTGTTTATCACACGTAAGAGGAAGTGGCAGTGTGACAGACAGGAAGGAAGCACAAACACACACAGACTCACACACTGTAGCCCCAACACCTGTCTTAGTGCCTATATCTTCTTTTTTTAGATGTTCCTGCCCCGGTTTAAAATATTAGTTTCATCTCTAAGTTTGCATTTCAACAGAAAGGACATGAAGTTAAATGACCCTTAAGAGAAGGGTTACTGAATTATAAAATATCAACCTGATATATAACAGCATGTAACTTCTTTATATTACTAAAGCCTTTTTAGAACTGTAGCACTATAGCATGAACAGAACTACTGAATCACAATAGATAAGATAAGAGGTACTTTATAAATACCATTAGCCGTGCGCTTTTATTATATTATCCTATGATTATTAACAAGGAAAATGTATACTGTAGTTGTTACTGTCTGTACCTCTACCTCAGAAAGTCACATGTATCAGTTTTGATCAATATCGTAGATTAGTAAATATACACCATCTACTTTATTACCATGGTTTACCACGGTATTAATATATGGCTTCTATGTTTCCATGTCTCATACTTCACAGCACAGTGTTTATATCCACGGTGAAACTTGATGGACGAGGGAAGTTTTACATATTTGCATAGCTGACAGTAGTCCAGTCTCCAGCTCCAGAGACTAAAGGGGAGTTGAAGTCGGAGAATAACGTAGGAAGTTCACAATATGTTATCCCTGTAGTTCCAGCAGGCGGTGGAGAAGTTCCTGTACTCCTGCGGGGGCTACTGCGTGGCTACCTACGTCCTGGGGATCGGGGATCGCCACAACGACAACATCATGATCACCGAATCTGGTACCGACTGCTTTTGTCTGGAATCAGAAATACATATAATCATGCAGCCACTTCCCACTGGTTTTTGTCATTGTGCATCACATGTCAAAGGGAAGCAAGTAGTTCAGGAAAACACAGAAAACGAAAGAAAGGTCTAAAAACGAACTTCTTTTGTGTTCCTGCAGGGAATCTCTTCCACATCGACTTTGGGCACATCCTGGGGAATTACAAGAGCTTCATGGGAATCAGTAAGGAGTGGGTTCCCTTCGTGCTCACACCAGACTTCCTGTATGTCATGGGAACATCCGGGAAGAAAAGCAGCCCTCACTTCTTGAAGTTCCAGGTGCAGTAAATCACTAATGCACTAAACCCACCATTATTTAACATGTCATAATGCAATTACACAAAGTATACACACTTTGCTGTATTATACCTGCTTTCTCTGTGTCTCAGGACGTGTGTGTGAAGGCGTACCTCGCCCTGCGGCACCACACCAACCTGCTCATCATCCTCTTCTCCATGATGCTGATGACCGGTAACACTTCCCTCTGATAAAACTCAAAGCTTTCTGTTTAGTGCTCTTTCACAGCACAACAAAACCTGTTTGTTCACACCATTTATTTACTTGAAATATCAAGGTAAGGTACGTTAGCACATTTTCAGACACAGAGGCAATTCAAAGTGCTTCACATCAACATTAACACTTAAGAAGAAGACAAAAGAAATGAACACAATAAATAAACAAAATGGAATAACAGATTCATAAAAACCATGCATAAAAGAGATACAGAATAGTTTTAAAACAACGGTGAAGACCTCAGTGTGAATGAAATATAATCATGGCCTTTTTCCACTTGTCTCACGCTCACACCCGCTGTGTTTTAGGCTCAGATTCAAGTTTACTTTTGTATATAAAACTAGCTGACTCGTTCACGCCATTAGGTGCAACTTTCACATGTATTGTTGAGATAATGAATGGCAGATATATTGATAAATGCTCATATGAGAGTCTGAAAAGCGATTCTCTTATATTTTTCACCATGACCAGGCATGCCCCAGCTGACCAGTAAGGAGGACATTGAGTACATCCGGGAGGCGCTGACTGTGGGCCGCAGCGAGGAGGAGGCGCAGCGCCACCTGCTGGACCAGATTGAGATCTGCAGGGAGAAGGGCTGGATGGTTCAGATCAACTGGTTCGTTCATCTGGTGCTGGGCATCAAGCAGGGCGTGGACAAACGCTCCACTTAGGACTCTTTCATTACCCTTCAGACCTTTCTGTTTCTTTATTTGAAGTAAATAAGTCTTACGCCACATTTCAACAGAAGACTGAACATTTCAAATTAATCGCACAATGATTTTTGCTAAAACAGATTTTTAGACTACCTGTCATTTCAACAAAAAATATATTTATAGGAAGAATAATGAGAGATTAATAACGAAGAGATGGATTTATACTACTGTATGGAAAAAGGCTGGAACTTTAAGAGCAAAACTACTTTTAAACTGTGGTACAGCACAATACATTAAATCTGGTTTATTTTGTTTCATAGTGAGGAGGAAGATATATTCTGCCTGTTTTATTGCACTGCTTGGACCAAGTCTTAAAAACTCAATAACATTAAAAGGTTTTTTTACAATGACTATAAATGCCCAAGTCTTTGCCTGATCACAGAGTCAAGCTACTTCCTGTTTCTAGTCAAAGTCATTTCCTGCTGAACAAACACATTAGTTAACATTTCATTCTGGCTGAAGCAGTGTCCCTTGACTCCGATTAATCCGTTAAGTGATTTTATATTGAAAATATCTGCTTTTATTTTTTTAAATACTCTGCAAGGAATTGTTTCTGGTTTTAAACCACTGTAATGTCACTGTTGTGCTTGAGGTGAGAGTTGTATTATTTATATTATCAACAATCATTTCCATTTGCACTCATTGCTAAGGAATACTTCCTAAATGTCATAGAGAACTTGAGGCTTTTAAAAAAAGAAGATAATACAAAATGATGTTTAAAATTGAATGTAATCATGCTAAATGTTTGCTGTTGTTGACCTGTGGCACATGCTGGTCAGTGCTGTGCTCACTTTTTATAGTATGTGGAGATACAAGTATATTTTGAGAATATACTATATAATAATAATTTGACATTTTGAATTATGCCATCAATACAATCACTCAATTTTTTAAACCTCTATGCTATCTTAACATTTCTTAAAAATACAATCAAGGAACCAACTTTGACTGAAAGAAACACATGTTTTGCTTATGTTTTTCAAATCACAGACAGAAATCCCAGCAGTGGCTGAGGCCATCACAGATTGTGTATATATCAATAGGATCATTTTTGTTATGACGTTTCATGAGCACAAGTTACTTCCCTGTTTTTTTTAGCATCATTAGCATCAGCAGTATTTTTTCTATGGCTTGCATTTCTCTTTTTTTCTGAAAAAACGTTTTGTAATAAAGCCTTTTGTGACTGTAAATGCTTCCAATCAGTGATTCTGGAAATAACTTAATTTGATGTGCTGGTATCAGACTTCCCCTTGCTCACATCTTACATCTGTATGCGTGTCTCAGAAAGGGGTTATTCTGATCCTGAGCTGATCAAAATCATTGCAAATAACTGTGATAACTGACATTTACCACAAGATGGAGCAACATCAACACTGGCACCATACTGAGCATTTACTCCACTTGCTCTCAAACGTCTCCTCTCCTGTCAGCTTCCCATTTATCTTTTCATCCTTCTCCTCTCCCTCCAACACAACTATACTTCTGAGACACATTTGTTTTTTTCCTCATAGAAAGGCTGCTTGTCCAGTTATAGCCGAATGCATCAATACCAAGGTTACAAACCACTTGAAGATCCTTAAATCAAAAATATCTTTGCTGGTCCGATTTAGGCTTAGGCTTTCCAATTAGTAACAGAATGATTTGGAAGACATGACACCAGTTTCACATACTCTGTAGCTTTTATTGAATCCCAGCTTCAGTCTGCTCCGACAGGTTTGAGAAAAGTGGAACAAAGTGGAGCGTCGAGGATCGATTCCCTCTCTCTATTATCTCTGGGTCCTCTCCAGGAAGACATGAACCAGATCAGACAGCGGGGGAAATCACAGTGTGTGCCCATATGAGGAGCCATGAGAGTGGGGACCTCCAGCCTGGGTTATTTCTGGGTCAGGCCTGGGTTGAAGTTAATTGAAGTGAATTAGTATTGATGGTCCTCACAGGTGCGTGTGTGTACGTTCTGACATGTATGTGATTGAGATGTGTGGGCATGATGCACTGCACTCTATTTACGGCTTTGAGAACAGAGATTTCATGGTAACCTCTGAAATCGCAGTGTGATCTCCAGCAGCTGAACTTGTCTCCATCTTCCTTTTTAGCGTAACATGCTTTCTTTCTTACTTTTGGCAATGAAATGCTATCTGCTAAATGTGTTGTAAGAGGCATTTGAGCTATTACTAAACCTTTCCTGCTTTTTTTTCTTCCCTTAGACTCATCATGATTAGGTGAGATCCCAAAACTGTGCAAATGTGCTTTCAAACCTTGCTTTATTCCCAAAAATGTACTTATTCGATTACTCTTTTTTTGGCTGTATGTCCAATATCTCCCTCACTGTGACATAACTTTGCTTCAATTGGTGCCGCTGTGTACATTCGCATCTGTTTGTGCTCACCCTTATATTTGCATTGACTTTGAATGTGAGCCTTCTGTCTCTCTTCCAAGCAATCGGACATTTCAGATGCCCTATTTGAGCCTGAATTGGGCCAAATTTCTGAGAGATTCTTGTCATTACCCATGCAGTTTGAAGGAGGTTGAGACTGATTAATATCTGACTGGTGTAATTTGTGTCAGAACATTTAGCGGGCTGTCGCTGTCAGGTTGAGCATTTCAGATTCATGTCTGCTGTGAAAAGATCTCCTTTTAAGCTGTTGTGGTATTATTTGAGTATTTTACAGGTTGTGGCTTCATGTGTCGTCTCGACTGAGGCTGCTTTGTTAAATGTATGAACTGCTGCAGAACACTGATATATTTTAATGTATTTTTGTTCAAAATGTCAGCTTCAGTGTGAGGTACAAGTTGTGACGATAAAAGCTTCTGGTCGAGCACTTTATCAAATAAATTGCGCAGTGAAAGTAAAGACACTAGGCTTGTTTGAGACGAGCTGCGGCTCGCCTCGAAAGTAGACGAGAATAGCCGATCGCAGCCGGGGGAGGTCTCAAAAAGCTCGCCTGAAGTCGGACAGCTCGGAGTCGGCTTCTTCTTCTTCTTCTTCTTCTTCTCTCGGTTTTTTGGCGGATTTCAAACAACTTTAAGGTGCATACTGCCACCTCCGGAGTCGGCTTGACTCGGTTTGCATTTATAAATGCACACGGCATCTATTGCACGTCTGTCCGTCCTGGGAGAGGGATCCCTCCTCTGTTGCTCTCCCTGAGGTTTCTCCCATTTCCCCTTTAAACTGTGGGTTTTTCTCTGGAAGTGTTATATCTCGCACAGGCTCCGCCCTCTACTGGACTCTATGGGTACTACCTTATCATGCAAGCATTCACCTGCTGAGATTTCTATAGACGTAGCCGGCCCCGGGGCGGGCTTACCTGAATGCGTGCGCATCTCACTTCCGTATAAAAGGAGGCCTCGCCTCCTGACCACTATCCTTTATAGTGATGGGAATTCCGGCTCTTCTTGGTGAGCCGGATCATTTGGCTCGGCTCACCAAGAAGAGCCGGCTCTTTCGGCTCCCAAACGGCTCTTCAGTTTACTACATATTATACCTTTTATAATTCAATCAAATGTAGCCCTGTTTTGACTCATGATTTATATGTGTACACATATCACTTAAATTATTCAATACATCCTTTGTACTGAAGTATTCAAAAGTAAAAATTACATGTTTAATATCAATTATTTGCTGTGGCCAGTTTTCATTGCATTTACAGACCCTTGTATCTCTCTGATACCACCCAATGAATGCACTGACTTGCTTGAACCACGCTACACAAAGCAGATAGCAACACCTATAAAAAACCCGAGGTGACAGGGCTTTCAGTGTTGCAGCTCCTAGACTGTGGAACAGCCTCCCAGTATATATCCGGACTGCTGAGTCTATTGAACTTTTTAAATCTCAGCTAAAAACTCACCTCTTTGCACTGGCTTTTAATACTAGTTGAACATTACATTTTTACATTTGTATGTGTTTTTTTTAAATATTTTTCTAGTTATTGTGCTTTTTATCATGTTTTTAATTATTGTTTTATTATTGTACTCCCATTGTGTTATTTAATATGTATTGCCTGTACAGCACTTTGGTCAACTGAAGGTTGTTTTAAATGTGCTATATAAATAAATAAAGATTGAGATTGAGATAAAAACTTAAGCATAGACATTTAAATAAAGGGGCTACTGTATCGACATTTTAAAATTATATTTAAAGAAAAGGCCCTGACTAAACAGCAGGGCTCTATTTCAGTATTAACTATAGAAAAAAAGACAGCAACAGCTGACATCAAATCTTTGCTGAGCCCAAGGATAATCATAAATAAATGACATAGTGAAAATAAATATATTGCAATGCTCAGTACAGCAGCATCCAACAGTCTCTAATCCTTGGATATTACATGTCACTGCATGCATGCACGGAGCAGCTGTAGCGCGGAGATCATCATATCATTCTGTCTTGTATTACTTAACAACAAAATAACAAAAAAAAACGGCTCGTTCGCGGGCGCGAGCCGGCTCCCGTCGTTCACTTAAAAGAGCCGGCTCTTTGAGCCGGCTCGTTCGCGACCGACACATCACTAATCCTTTACTCTTCAGCGAGCGGAGGTGGTAACCTAGCACTGAGTCCGAGACCTACAAATGGGAGAAAGGAAGTAGAGAGAGATATTGTTGAAAATGGAGCCACTCCTGGAGCATCGCAGTTGCCCGTCGTGCCCTGGACTGATTGCGGGAGCAGATCCGCATCGCCAATGTTTTCAGTGCCTGAATGTTTTCAGTGCCTGGGACAGGATCACGCTGAGCAGGGAGCAGGCCAGACACCGGCCTGTGTTTCCTGCTGCTCGATCCCGATGCTAAACCGCCGGCATCGTGCGGAGTACTTCTCGAGGAAGTTCGGCCCGCAGGTGCACGGAAAGGAAGAGGATGTGGACCTCGAGGTGGTGGAAATGGACGACCTGGAGGACGTGCCGCTTGAGTTCGTCCTTCCGAGGGACCGCGTGGTCGACTTCACGGAGGATGACGACATCTCCTTGTCCGACACCCCCGGGTCCGACAGCCAGGAGGGCCCAGCACTCAGGTCTGCGCGACTGGACTTCGCAGCGGTGATGACCCAGGCAGCGGAGCGTGTAGGCTTACCGCTCCCCCCACCGCTGCCACCGAGGCCTGTAAGCCGCCTTAGGCAGGGGTTTTACGGCCCGGTGCTTCCGGCGCAGCCGGCTTTCGTCTCGCCCCCGTTGCCAGACATCTGGCAGTGTGTGGAGGCGACATGGCGGCGTCCATTGAGGACGAAGGCCGCCATAGCATCCATGTCGGGCATGCAGGGCCGATCAGACACGGTGTGTGTGCTGGCGTGCCCCCCCCTCGACGAGAGCCTGGCGGCCCATCTGTTGCCACGATCAGCTGGTTGGGCGGAGGGGAAGAAACCTCTGCCCCCGCTGCCGCGGGACCGGGAAGCCTTAGAATATTTGGATAAAATATTCAGGCTCGGTTCACAGATGGCGGCTGCGGCGAATAATCTGGGTGTGTTGGGCGTCTCCTTGATTACTCCTCGAGCAGACGCCCCCGCTCTCCCGTCTCAGGACGGGGAGGATTATCCGGACCGCTGCATGGGTCAGATGAATAATCTGATCCATGGAGTGGCCACCGCAGCCGGGCGAGTGATGTCCTTAGCCACAGTGGCGTCTCGTCATGTGTGGCTGGGACTCACCGCGCTGCCCAAAAAGGACCGAGCAGATCTCCTTGGAGCCCCCGTTTCCACGGAAGGGCTCTTTGGGTCTATAGCCTCGGTCACCCAGCGTTTTCAGCCGTCTGGAGGAAGAGAGGCTGCAGCTTAGCCGCATGTTGCCGCTAGCTTCTCCCCAGGTGTCACAGCGTCCTCCGCGGGCGGCGGAGCGCAGTGCAACGGTGAGACGGAGGGAGAGACGCCGGTACAAAGTCCCGTGCCGGTAGCACCCTCCGCTTCTTCAACCAGCCCCGTGGGGCCAGCGTACCGGCACTCACGGGGGCGGGCTGCCCGGCCACGGCAGTCTCAGCAGCAGCAGAGAACCGCTGGGTGGGGAGCTCCGCCAAAACGCAGCTGACTGGCGGAGGGAGGAAGCGTCTCATCGGGTCTCTCCACCCAGGACGCTAGGGTGAATCCCACCTCCTCCCTGTTCAATGCCCAGGTCCCTTGTATTAGGAAAACTAATAAAGAAAAGGGTGATCTGTATTCAAGTCTGAGTGTCATGTGTTTTCACAATCCTGCACTCACACACATTGTTGACTG